GGAAAGGCCCTGGTGTCAGAGGAGGGAGAGGGGAAGAACCCCGTAGACTACATCCAGGTAAGACGACGGGGCGTCGGGAGATTAGAGCGCAGGGGTGTTGTCGCTCGGTCTTGTGAATCTGCAGGAATGTGTTGTAAAATGTTCAATTAGTTTGCTGCCGTTCTGATGTCACGAGCGCTCGGTTGAAGCACACTATAACCGTCTACCGCATATATTTTAGGTGAGTGAGAGAGACCTAACCTTGTTAGAGCTCGTGGAGTCATTTCCACTGGCTCTGCAGCACACCATTGCGTGCAGAGCTCTGACCATAATGTACTTCCATAGTCTCCCAGCAGAGGATAACTGCTGCGTTTGTGGCCACAAGCCATGATGGTCTCTGACCACACTGTGTCGTTGCACAGTACTGAAAAACACGTGAGGTCATTCAGGCCACTAGAGAGAAGGCACTTTATTTTAAAGTCTTGTTATTTTCATCTAAAGCTCCTGTGTGAAACAGTTTCCGCTGTTTGCGGTTCCACACTTACGTACCTGTTGTAATAGCTGTGTTAAGCTACTGCACGCTGCTGGATTATCCCTCATCATCCTTGTCTCCTTTCCTCCAGGGTTTGCTGGACCTGAAGTCACGTTTCGACCGTTTCCTCCAGGACTCCTTCAATAACGACCGGCTCTTCAAGCAAACCATTGCAGGCGACTTTGAGTACTTCCTTAACCTCAACTCTCGTTCGCCCGAGTACCTCTCACTCTTCATCGATGACAAACTGAAGAAAGGAGTAAAAGGGGTAAGATAATCATTTGCAATGTGTAACCCGCTGAAATAGCTTCCTGTGTGTCCAAGGGGGTTAATCAGATTATTGACTCTGTTTTACGAGCATCCTATGTAATCTGCATCATTCTTGTTTTTTTGTCCAGTTGACGGAGCAGGAGGTGGAGTCCATACTGGACAAGGCCATGGTGCTGTTCCGCTTCATGCAGGAGAAGGACGTGTTTGAGAGGTACTACAAGCAGCACCTCGCACGCCGGCTGCTCACCAACAAGAGTGTCTCTGATGACTCTGAGAAGAACATGATCTCAAAGCTCAAGGTGAGCGGACATAACCGAGTTCTGTCCAGCACAATAATGAGATTTCTGTCACGATTTTGCAGGAATGAAAAACCTGCAGCCTCTAGATGACAACTTGTTATCTATGAAACTTAGAAATTCTGTGATCTTGCCTACAGGTATAGAGGTGTATGAACCCCTATGCAATGCTTTGATTAACTACATGTCATCCTTCTTCTGGTCTCTGTTGCTCAGACCGAGTGCGGCTGTCAGTTCACCTCTAAACTGGAGGGCATGTTCCGGGATATGAGCATCTCCAACACCACCATGGATGAGTTCAGACAACATCTACAGACAACTGGGGTAAGGAGACGCTGCACGCCACGACTCATTCTGTCAAAATAATGAGCCGACCTGTGTGAGGCTGCTTGACTCAGTTACATAAGAACAATTATGCACCAAACTATCCGTATCCTTGGAATACATGGTGCTAATTTCTGTCTCTGTCACTGTATCTGATTGTCATTTGGTTTGCTTAAGCACACACTAATTATTTGTGTTCGTTTTTCCCTTAGTTTATAGCTAAAAGTCCTTTCAAACCTATTTTAAATTTAGAGGTTTTGAATTTGCTCGGATGCAACACCGTGATCTGTTTCGGATAAAAAGCACATGCACCTTTTTTGTGTCATCAGCTAGTTGTTATTTTTTGTCTAATTAGGTTATATCTTTTTTTCGATCTGTTTCTAACCTCATTGCACCAATAAACATCAGTGCGCCTCAGTGTGTGATCACATCAGCGTAGACTGAAACTGGATTGTGCGTCTTGTGTTTGTCTGACTTCAGGTGTCACTCGGAGGGGTCGATCTCACGGTCAGAGTCCTGACCACAGGATATTGGCCAACACAATCAGCAACACCAAAGTGCAACATCCCCCCGTCACCGCGACATGCATTCGAAGTCTTTAGAAGGTCAGTTGTACATTTAGGAGTTTATTTCTTTCACGTATGAATGGTTTCATAACAGCGCTTTGTTTTTAGACGAGGGGTTTCTGAAATGTGTGATCCTCTTACTCAGCCACATTATGTTTTCTTACAATTGGAAGCTGACCAGAGTAACAACTTTCTTCAGTTCCTGGTCATTTCTTGGCAATATAAGCTTGTGTGTATTGCTAGAAATAGAATCATCATATTTCTGTACTGTCATGGTCTTCTCCCCGGGCCTGTTACAGAAAGTTCTAACACTTGAGTTGGATTCATTGTGCTACATTGGCTATTTTTAGAGGTTAACCCGGAGTGACTCCCCTCTGCTTGTAGGTTTTATCTCGGTAAGCACAGCGGCAGACAACTCACACTGCAGCACCATATGGGCTCTGCAGACCTAAACGCCACCTTCTACGGCCCCATCAAAAAGGTACGTGTCACTTTCAAATGTAAGATCAGCACATTTATCAAACACTCTATGCTGTGATTATGCCATAGAACAGATTACGGATATTGTTGATGGGACAGTGTACGTGTTTTACAATGAAAAAATAAACTTAGTTCGGTAACTTTGTTTGCAATGCATTGTCAATGGGGCAGTTTTGTTTTGTTTCCAAAGGTCAGAGGTCTGAAAATGTTTTTCTAAAATGTGTTTTTCATTTTCAAAGTGTAAGTGGTACTTTTTAAATGTACTGCTAAAAATATCTTTTAAAATTGTAAACCCAACGAGTAATGGACACAGCTACATGTTATTAATAACTTAAAACAAGTCATTTTGTGATACTTTTTTTTTATTTATTTGAGTAACAGGGAAATCGACTATCTACTATTTTGAGGACTTTCAGCAACAGAAAACCTGATTTCTTGTGGAAGGGGATTTTGAATCGTATTTTTAGATTTTGATCTTCTGCCCGAACATATCAAAAGGAGGACGGGTCAGAGGTGGTCGTGGGAGGAGCCCAGGTTACCGGCTCCAACACCAGGAAGCACATCCTGCAGGTCTCCACTTTTCAGATGACCATCCTCATGCTTTTCAACAACAGAGACAAATCCATCTTTGAGGTACACAGTATGACACCATACTGCCCGACACAGTCTAACAGTGTGTTACGGTCCCCTAGTTTGCCGAAAACAATTAACCGAGCCAAGAAAGACAAACATCCTGATTGATGGTGGACAAATTCAGCAGTTTCCGATTCCTGCTTTCCTCTCTCTGTTATGTCTTGCTTAATATTTGATCCTTCAACCCTGTATAGGAGATCCAGCAGGAGACGGACATCCCAGAAAGGGAGCTGGTGCGAGCGCTGCAGTCTCTGGCTTGTGGGAAGCCCACTCAGAGAGTACTCACCAAGGAGCCCAAGTCCAAGGAGATCGAGAATGGCCACGTGTTTACAGTTAATGACCAGTTTACCTCCAAACTCCACCGTGTCAAGATCCAGACAGGTACACATCATGTTTCCTTTAGTCTTACAGTAACAGGCGCCTTGTGCAGCACGCAGAAAATGTAACAAAACAACAGAAAATAATACCTTTCACCTCACAGTCAAATGATTTAATTTATTTGGGGAAAGTATATGTATGCCTTTGGTCTCAGTACTTGTCTTTTGCATTTATTTTCCTTTCTGTTATGCACCACCTAGTGGCTGCTAAACAAGGGGAGTCGGACCCCGAGAGGAAGGAGACGCGACAGAAAGTGGACGATGACCGGAAGCATGAGATCGAAGCTGCCATCGTTCGCATCATGAAGTCCAGAAAGAAGATGCAGCACAATGTTCTAGTAGCAGAGGTCAGTCAGCTGAACTGGTTGCATTTGCAAATACGAGTAGTGGTGATGATGATGATGATGATGGTGATGATGATGATGGTGACAGGATGAAAAGTACGGTGTACTGATTTGCTCTTGTTTTTCGGTGTCTCCACAGGTCACGCAGCAGCTGCGTTCACGATTCCTTCCTAGTCCCGTAGTCATCAAGAAGCGCATTGAAGGACTCATTGAGAGGGAATATTTGGCACGAACACCGGAGGACCGCAAAGTGTACACTTATGTAGCATAAAACAGGAGAATTCAATGAAAGCTAACACCGCGTTGAGAGAAACTGAGAGCCTTGTTTTTTTGTGGACTGCTATGCGTTTGAATGAACTTGGAAGTGCTTTCATCATTGATTCTGGGAAACACTGGGAAGCTTAACTTTTCTTCCATTAAAAATGTGTAAAGAGGAGAAAAAAAGGTGCAAAAGATGGGGAAGTTTTCTAGGTATATTAGATTTCTTCTGCTGAGAGAAATGAAAGGAGGCGATCTAGTTTTGTACAAAATCATGTTTCTTGTGGCCTTTGGAGAGAATTGGATCAGCCTCTTTGCCAATTAACTACGTGCTGTAGAGAACGAGCTGAAACATGTTAGAGCTAACATGCAGCTACACTGAGACCAAGACAACATTTGAGTTCACTCCCCTGTTTTAAATGTCAATGTGTTCCTTTTTTTTTTTTTTTGTGGCACATTGATGGCTGTACGTGTTAACAAAGACACTCTTGGCCTTTTTCCTCCTAGAGGATTTTAAATTTAAAGAAGAGGACAAAGTGTTAACTGGTACAGACCTGGTTTACAACAACATTTTGAGTACTGGAGAGAACATGAAGAGTGCTTCATTTATGTTGAAAGTCTGTCTGTTCCTTGAGGTTTTAATGTCTGATAAGAATTAAGCGCACCTATATTTAATGCCATATTCCATATTTGGGCCAGGTCTGTACTAGTGGTTAGAGAGATCAAGAGCTGTAGCTTCACGGCATGCTTTTATCTAACGGGTCAGCCGGGCGAATAAGACGCATAAAAGCTCCATAAATGGCGTTTGGTCTCTCATGACACATTTTTCACTTCAGGCCTGCTGTATGATCGGCCAAAAAAACCTATCTCCTCTCTTTGAATGGAAGGTTCCTTGTGGTGCAGCTTTCAAAGAGATTTTTTTGGGATTTTTGGACCGGTGGAGCCAGTCTAGCACCATGTTCTAATGTGTACAAATTGTAAAATAATTATTGTACTCACTGCAAAGGTGGAATGTACAGGGCCTTGTTTTCATCATAGTAAATGTAGAATAAAAAAAAATGAAGGGGTGGGTTTTTCTTTTCCTTCTTTTCTTTTTACATCTTTCATGTGAAGGCCTTGGCAAAAGTCAGAGTACTTGCCTCTCTAACCATAATTAAAGCTAAGTTTAGGGTTCAAAAGGAACTTTCTAGATCTCTGAAGTACATTGTTTACTACAGTAGTTTGAGATGGAAGTGCAACTTTTTCTTTTTCTTTCTTCTTTTATTTATTGGTTTATTTGATAAGGGACAGTGCACATTAATAAAAACATTTCTGTAACTGCGCCAGAGTTAGCAAACGGCTATTTTTCATCTGTAGTCCCTTTCAAGAGCATCAAACCCAGTTAAAATGTGTAGTTTTATTTAAACTGTTAAGAGAGGTGTGGATTCAACTGTATGTCCTGTTTGGAGGCTGTAGTCTGTGTTGTTGAATTATATTATGAGGTGTTTCTAATATCTATCCTCTGATATAAAATGTGTTTTAGAAACGACAAAAGCGCCACAAACTGCAGCCTTTAAAATGACCATGAAGTTTAATCAACACTGTTCTAAAACAGAGAGATACATAATCAATATAAATAGATTGACAAAATGTGTAATATACCCATAAGCTTAAAATAATGTTCTTCTTTTTCAGTTTATTTTAGGTCATTTTTTATTTCATAATGTTCTGTCGGCTCAATTGAACAAAAGTCTGAGTAGCTGGTCTGAATCGACAGGCAAAGACTGAAATTATGAAATAAAAAAACTGCTGAAATTAAACAGAAATGACCTGCAACACGCAATTTTGAGAAGATGCATGATGAAATAACACAATGAGTTAGGATTTAAACATGTATAGAGTTAGTTCACAGTGTCATCGTTAGACACACATCTGTATTTATTTCATGTGTTGGTGATTTGTTAAACATTGAACACATTTTAGAGTCTCCATGCATTAAGGTAAGATGTATGTCATTGGGACTGCATTAGGTTTTGATGGACTGTGTTTGCAGTGGGTGTCTTTCACAGGACTTGTCAAAACGCGGTGTGCGCCAAAAGCGAGTTTAATGGTATTAACGAAACAATGTCTTTCATTTTTTAGGGTTTAGAGAGCCTGCCCTGCACGTTTAAATCTGCCCGGCCCTTCTGGACTGCCTCCTTTGTCTTCCTATGTTGTTAGACGCATGCCATCTGCTCCATGTTATTATATATATGCGGCTTTAGACCGACAGCAGCACACACCTCCTGGGTCCCTTTCGCCCAGACTTCAGCCTCCTGGATGTAGTCCAGCATGCATCTCCACTTTTTGTTTTCTCCTACTAAATATCCAGTGCTTTTATTTTAACATAACGGTGCATGGTTATATTGCCTCCTGACGTCAGCGTCCCAGCAAAAGAGTCCCCCCTTCTTCTTCTTCTTCTTCTTCTTCTTTTACTGGAGCAGACTGTGGAAAGAAATCAAACGCGATGCTTCTCTTCACCCTCAGTCCTCCGCACTGCCGCAAGCAACACCGCGCAAACTTTCTGTGCAGATGGCTCGACCAAATGTGAAAGAAGAAGGCCCCGCAGCTTCTTCCGGACCATGTTTCGAGGAGTGTCGCTATTAAAGAGGTCCGACCATGCAGAACGTGGACTCCGGAGATGAAACCGAGTGAGTCAACGTTAAGCTAACGATGCTAACGTTAGCTGTAGCTGCAGCCACAATGGAAACTCTTCGGCAGTAAATCGTAGAGGGGTTATTATTTCAAACCAGCAACTAAACTGTGACCTTTAACCTCTTCGCACGTTAACTACAGGTGTTTATAACTGTTGTCCTCTTTAAGATGTTGTCTCCTAAATGTGTTTGTTGTCATGGTGACCAACGGTGGCTTGTTTTCCAAACCAACCGCCACAAGATGGAGACAGATGTTTGTCTTTTCCTCCAGCCAATGTACACCTGAATTAATCACTTTGTGTACTTCTTATTATTTTGTGTCTTCTTAACTAGATCTGACTGCAGCAGGATGTCCTCATCTGGCGGTAAGTATTCATTCACTCATACAGAGGATTAAGAGGCACAGCTGTAATTTAAAGTTAGGAGACTCACAAGGGGACAGATTTATTATAAGAACGGTCAAAATCCAACACTTCCCGTAATGTAATTTTGATAGTTATTAAGACTCAAACTTCATGCCACCACCAGCTCAGAAATAGTATGTTATATCACATTTATAATGTGGGTAATTACTAAATATTATGTAGAATAAAACCCTGTCAACTGTCTAGGAGTTGACAGTTTATAGTCTACTAGTGTTGATGAGACGGGTGTTGAGACACACGCTAGAATAATGACCTCTCCATTTCCAAACACAGTGCATCACTGATTGTTTTGGCACTAAACTAAACACTAAACCACTGAAGACCTTCTGGAATTTGACGGTTGTAATGTGACTACCTTTGTGACATTACACAACTGTTTTGACGAGCTGAGTCGTACTCCCCCATCACATGGAAACTAATCTTGATGTGTGAAACCGGAGTACCCCCTTTAACTACTACACATTTGTTATGGTTTCTACTTAAACATCTGTGCTGCCTGGTTTTAGCACTTGCACCTGTCTAAGCTATCTTTGTACACGTGCGTGTGCGTGCGCGTGTGCGTGTGTGTGTGCGTGTGTGTGTGTGTGTGTGTGTGTGTGTGTGCGTGCGTGCGTGCGTGTGTGTCACCCCAGTTCAGGACATGACCAGTCGGGTCAGGCAGCAGCAGCTCCTGCTGATGAACCTACATCTGCTGGCCAACCCTGGAGACTCACTGCTGCTGCAGCACACCCTGGATCGCCTCCTACGCTGGCTCTGCCCAAGTCTCCGTATCTTCCATGTGTCAGAGAGGGCCTCCCCATTCAGAAGTTACACCCGCCTCTGTTCTGTGTCAGGTAATGATCCTCCACATGTGGTTTTGCATTTATTATACTTACATCTGGTTATATAAGTCGGTATTTAATAGGGATGCCAAACCGTACAACCTCATTGTGTATTTGTTTTTTGTAAATAGGAAAATAATCATTTCCATATGTAAGAACAAGACAACTACCTCAAATGTCGTACTCTTAACTCAATACTACATTTACTCTGTATATGGAGTAAACATGCAATCCCACAGCGAGCTTCCCTTGCTAGAATCTGCATCTGTTCTTTTTTTATCTTGATTGAGAATAACCCTTTTTTTCAAAAATGTCTCAGGCTTCCCTTCTCTGGCCATCACCTTCTTCCTCCACGAGGCCTATGGAGAGGAGCGAATCCTCAAAGTGCTGGACTTCTTTCAGCGTCCGCCCTGGCAGTACCACCACACCGAGACCTGCGGCAGTCGACCTGGAGGGATCTACATCACCTCCAGCAGCTCCCCCGCCAATGCCATGTTGCGGCCCTACCTCCTGCCCAGCAGAGACTTCTATAGTTTGGGTGCAGGCATGCCCGTGTGGGGGGTTCGACCGGTCCACTGTGGGGGAGAAATACTCCGCGTGACACTGTACAGCGGATACGACAACTACGAGGATGCCGTGCGGCTCTATGAGACAGTGCTGCAGCGACAGGCAGAGGAGCAGAAGACGGGCTTCTGCTGGTTCACTCTCCACACAGGTTCGTCTTAAAAGTGGTGCTTTTTTGATTTTTATAGTGTTTAAAGCAACAAAAAATATAAGCTATTCATCTCAACAAGTGCAGTTTTAAGGCTCAGCTTTTTTTTAATCATGATAAGATGAAAAGCAAATAGGCAAGTGACCCATAATCACTTGTTTTCCACACAGAGCCCGGGCTGTGCCTGCAGCTGGCTTTGAAGCAGTTGTCACCAGGGTCTCGGGTGGAGCCGTGCAGCTCCGCTGTGCTGCAGTTTAGTGTGGAAGAAATTGGCCAACTCGTCCCTCTGTTGCCCAACCCCTGTACCCCCATAAGCACCACGCGCTGGCAGACAGAAGATCTGGATGGCAACAAGATTCTCTTCCAGGTAAGTGCAAATACAACTTTTAATTAGTAATTACTTCATAATTATCTCACAACATAGAGAGTCCAACGAGCAGGATCTCTGTTCTGCTCAAATGTTATTCGCAGAACGGAAAGTTTTGTACACAATATGCAGCAGGACAGGTTGCTTGAGGGAATAGCATGTTTGCTTTGGAGGGAAAGCAGCAGCAGTTGTTTGTGAAGTGAAGGAATGTTTGTGTTGCCTTTTCAGTTTTATGTTTCATGTTTTAGTTTGACAAACCGATGATTATTAACCTGGAATAAACCAAAGAGCAGCTTTTCTTCCATTCACAGTTATCTCACGGTAAACTAAGAGAGAAACATTTAAGAAGAACATTAAAAAAAATACACAACATGAGTTAGTGAGCTGCATGTCCAACTTTATTTTCATTGTTTAAATCACACTTTATAAGATTTGCATGTGATACAAACCCCATTTTGTTGCCAGATGTTGTCCAAACACTTAGAACACGTCAGCGTAAATATAGTTGAAACAGATGTTTAGATGTCTATGGAAGTAGATACATAATACAAAATAGTTTTACTGTCCAAAGAGAACATATTACAAGATCAATGTGAGGATTTGATATTGGAAAGTTGATTTTCACTGAGGGTTTGAGATCAGATGTATTTGTCCAAATAGAATTATGTACCAAATGATAAAGAGTAGAGCGAGTCGGGATGGCAAAATCATGACATGTGAATGGCTGCTTTACTTCCCTTGTGTCGCAAGACTTATTGATTGATGCCAGTATCACTTCTCAGGTTTAAGTTTTTAACAATGTCACATGACACAAACCTGATGAGACATAGCTCAACAAAATTAGACATGTTTAAAAAAACTTTCTTAGCCAAAAGGCCAGAATTCTTCATCCTGCTCACACAAAAGATGAATCAACTGTTTAGGTTACTTCATTAGCTCAGAACAAAGAAATCAAGCTTTAATTGGTATTAAAATCATTGATTTAGACCAATCTCACAAGATAAAACAGCGCCAGTTCAATAATAGAAATGGAACCAACTCAAAGCTGTCAGAGTAGCCATATGTAAGATGCGTGTATGTTAATTCTCTCAAAATCACTTAACTTGACTTAAATCTCTGTAGTCCTGTTGTAAATCATAATCCTCCGCCTTCTGTCCTTCTGTAGGTGAAAACCCCGGCTCAACCCCAACGACCTCTGACCTGCGCTTTCCCCCTGACCTGCCCCAGCGTTTCCCCTCTAGGAATGCAGCTCAGGAGCTCGGGACAGGCCCACAGCCTGTCGCCCTGCAGCCTCACCGCTCCCCTGCCCTGGCAAACACACCGGCAAGGTAAGTGCACAGAAGGGGAAACTGTGTTTCACGGTGTCTGCGGGCTATTCAAAAGTCGATTTAAATCAATTAAGCAACAATTAAGGCCCTTAAAAAGTCTTAAATGCTATTTATCAAGGTATTGCATTTTGTATTCAAAAGCTTGTGTGAATTTATGCGTGAATGTTTGGAGTGCACGGAGTTTTGAACCACGGCCAAGGCCCATCTTTGGACCGGAGACCGGAGATGCACTTTTTAGAAAACTACGCTATAAACCATCATCGCGAAGATGTCTCAAGACGTATTTATTAATTATTTATTCATAGTGGTCATATTGAAACAGAATTTACACATTGTTTCTTAATTCAGGATAAAATCAAAAGATCATTACCAGGGAAATAACAGATCATGTGTCAACAAAAAGAATAATAAAATACATCCGTTCATCAGGTCAAGTTTAAAAAAAAAATTTCAAATTTTACAGAAGGTTTTGTTGACTGCAAAGATAACATTGAAACATGTTTCGTGTCTGCTCCGTGTGTCTTTGGTTGTCACCAGGCCACAGGCCGCGCAGCGACTCTCTCCTTGAGAAGCGTCATGGAGGAGGTGGTGGAGCAGAGAGCCAGGGATCAGGAAGCTGCTGTAGCACCCCTCCAGGTAGCTCCTGTTACTCATCACAGCGCAGCAGCCCTGCACCGCCCTCAAGTACCAACCACCTGGACTCTCCTCTGCGCCCCTCCATCACCTGTTCTCTCTCCCACCTCCTTCTGGAAGAGGAGGAGGAGCCAGAAACCAACGTAGACACAGGAGTCCCCGTCTCGCTGAAGTCTGACACGGCAGTCAAAGCAATTGCTCGCTCTTCCTCCACGGACCTTTCGATGTATCTCCACTCTGAGAGGCTTCCAGCTGTTGGGGCTTCAGCTGTTGAGGGTCTGGCCAAGGAGCTGATTCAATGTCTGCCACGGACACACATGCACCCTCAGGTCGCCTCCAGGACATGGGGCTCCGCTGGATGTACAGATGCAGCCAGGAAGGGCTGTGGCAGCAGGACTGTGGCAGCAGGACAAAGTGCCTCCAAAGGGCCTTTTGTGGAGAACAGGACTACTGCTGAGCTGCTGTCAGCACGCGCAAACAACAAGGAGCCAGTCGATGAGTTCTTCATCTAAATGCCTGCTACTACGTCACATGCTGGGGTAATAATATAAAATATCACACGGAGGACAGAGGTTGGACAAGATGATGCACCTGTTATAGTGGATCTGACGCTATGCAGGAGGACACAGCTGTGTAGTCTGGATAAATAGAAGTCCTCTGGAGTAAAGAAATCTGATTTAGTCTGATTGCGCTCCACAGTGCAGCTCTGTCAGTCTGTCACAGGCACAGTGAAAGAATAGCCGAGTAGCTTTTGATTTAATTTGTTTAAATGCACTTCAAAGTATCTTTATTCGTGTGTTAACATGTACTAGACTTAGGCCCAGTTACTGTATTGAAGAGGACATTCATCCTCACATAGTTAACAGCATTTTCTAAATAACTACTTAAAGAGAACATTTAGACGTTTACAAAAAGATCTTGTAATATAATGTTTTTGTAATAATAATTTAACCATTAGTATGCAAGGTGTCCTGTGACCTAAGACATGTTAATTACTGTACGGCTATAAGCTGAGGGATCAGCAGACGGATACATTTAAGTTCAAACTTAACCGTGTATTGAACTGAACTGGTTACAGCAGACGGTCGTCAAACACACAACATTTTTGCACAGTGCACATGATCATTGTTGTGATCATAGCTGTTTAGAGACCGGTCTGAGAAAAGATGTGTTATTGTGAGGAGAGGAATGTTTCAGGAAACATTTAATGACCTTGTGAGTCTCTTCTTCTACACACATTACTTGACATCTTCTATAAAACTTTTAATTGTGGCCATGGACCTTCTAAATTGAACCCACTCACAGATAAACCTGAATCTGGCATTCACTGATGTATTATAGCCAAATCAAATGCATAAGATTTAAGGTTATGAGCTGCTCCTGTTGAGCCGTTCATTGGTCAACAGGACGCTGCAGGTGTGCAGGGCAGCTAGCCGTTGTTCATGTTTTTAAGTAAATGAGAGTAACTGGCAAAAAGAAAGGCACGCATGCTCAGTCAGGAAGCATCAACTGTGAGCGTCCTCAGTGTGTAAAATGTTGAAGGCTTAGTATTAAAAGATAAATGAATAAACCCTCTTTTTGTTGCGGTCAGATTGTGACGGCTTTACTTTGTGTTCTGACATGTTTCAATACCAATGCTGAGTAATCAATGATCTGCATTAGTCTGACAGACGGCTGCTCCGCCTGCAGTCATGGAAGAATCCAATGCAAAGTGAATACAATGATCGGATGAAAAGGTCAGAAGTGAATGATGATGTCACCAATTTATAACCACAATTGACCTTCAGTCACAAACTAGATAGAATTTGATATTTGTTTGAATTTCAGTGACAAAGATTTAGGCCACAGAACCGCTGGCTTAAGTAAGTAACACGTCATTTCTACAATGTGTTACATAGTTAGTGATACTGCAGAGGAGATGACACGTATCTTTTGATTTCACTGCCGGTGTGCAAAAACAGAGGCTTTTAAAAGCATTGTTCCAACAAAGAAGAGAGCGTGGTCTGCACAGTCCTTTGATCATTGTACCTGTATTAATACGGCTGTAACTTTACATCCATGTACAGTAATATTCATTGCTCTGAAGTATACATACATGTGCGTTAGGGTGAAAAAGTTATAGCACCATCAGCACGTCAACACATTACACATGATCTAAAGCTTACAGCGCCCTCTGCTGGTCAAAGAACGTTGTTGCTCAAGTTTTTATGAGTTTTATAAACCGACTGTTTATCACATACACAGCTCCTGTTACTCATCACAGTGCAGCAGTTCAAATAATTGCTCGCTCTTCCTCCATGTATAATAATCACTGTGCAATTAAAAACATATCAAATGACTGCAACAGAGGTTGGACAAGATGATGCACCTGTTAAAGTGGATCTGAAGCTATGCAGGAGGACACAGCTGTGTAGTCTGGATAAAGAGAAGTCCTCTGGAGTAAAGAAACCGAAGTTCAGCTGCAGGCGACACTTTCCACTCAGAAATGACTTCAAATGTTTTAACTTGTCACATAAGCTTCTACAATATACAGTAGGGTACAATTGTTGAAACAGAGCTGCCAAGAGAGTGGTACAAAGTGAGTAATATTTTAAAACGGTGCAGGTAATAATATTCTTGAATGTTTAAATTACTACATTTAGATCCAGCGACTTATTAGTGCAGCTATTGTGCTAAAAAATGTAGCCATGTGAAAAGCACAACATGAAGGAAAAGTGTCACTGTCAGCGTACTTAATGCCAGTTTAGGTTTCTGTCACAACCACATGTCGAAGTAATCAACCGTTATGTCTATAATAGATAGAATATCCTGATATTGCAGAAGAGATGACACATATCTTTTAGTTTCTCTGTCAGCGTGCAAATATGATAAGAGGAAAAAAAAGATGGTTTTAAAAGCATTGTTCCAACCAAACCAGTTTGGTCTGCCTACTTAAGAGTGCACAGTCCTTTCACTATCTTACCTGTATTAATGAGGCTAGAATTGTATTTCCATGTACAGTAATATCCATTGCTCTGCAGAATAAATACTATTTGTGCTTTAAAATGGAAAAAACAAGTGGGTATATTTTAGTTGAAACCCTTAATGGAGTTTGCTGAGTTATGCTCACTTTGCAACATATAAACTCAATGTGGGTTTAGGGTGAAAACGCTATAAAACCTTTACATTATAGTATGTACATCAACAAATTGCACGTTATCTGAAGTTTACAGTACTGCCGGTCAAAGAATGTTGTTGCTCTGAGGAGCGTCTCTACAACCAGTCCAGCTCAGATCCTTGGCCCACTGGCCCTCTCTGGTGACTCGAACCTTGACCGGGTCAAATCTCCAGAATCGCTGTTCTCTGAACAGGTAGAGGCGTCCGTCGGGACGGGTCAGCGCCCCATTGGTCCCCTGTGGCACACCCGTCCAGTCTGTCAGCCTGCGAGGGTAGTAGGGCTCTTGGTGCAGCGTTTTGAGGTTCAGCACAGAGTAACGGGAGCCCTTGAAGAGGACCATGTGACCCAGAGGAGCGTAGTAGAAGACACAGTCAGGGTGTCGAGGCAGCCCCAACTCACTGCTCTTCCTGGGGAAGCCCTGGTCCAGCACACTGCCTGAGTAGCGCCACATTCGCTTCCCTGCACCACGAGACGAGGGGAAAAGTGACAAATTCTATGATTCAACAATCATACAAAAAAAAAAGTTTAAATCATCTGCAAAGTACCATCATATTATATTTGATAGTAGTGGCTCCACAAATTCATCCAACATTTCACATGTCACATGACATCATACTGTGACACAGGTCAAACTGACTTGTCCACTTACTCTCTAAAAGATAACAATGCTACGATTTTTATTAAAATACAAAAATGGACAGAGATAATAAGCATAGTAATACAAATGTCCTAGCTTCAGTATTTTGCATAAAACTGTTTTGCATACTTGACCATAACTTCAAACAAGTTCTAGCCTTTAACACAAAGGTGAATCTGCTTTAAGATGACAGCTGTGGCTTCAGTGCAGTGTACTCTTTAAATAGCACTTTCCTATTTAAAGGCCCAATAGCATCTATTTTGGGAGCTTTAACAGACTTCTGAAGTTAGGCAGTAGCTTAGGGAATGTCTTTAAAAGGAAGTGTGAGAATCGCATTAATGAGTTGAGTGAAGCAGTACCTTTAAAAAAATACCACTTGGAGTCCAGCAGGGAGAAGGCAGCAGCCTCGATGGCCGGAGGAAGGTCAGACCAGCGGTGACGGAGAGGCAGCGGGCCGCTCACACCGCCTTCAGCCGATACTGTCCAGTACACACTGCCCCGAAACACCAGCACTGTCTCATTCTGGTCTGCAGACACAAAACAGAAAAGAAATAGCAGAAGGGTAAATATATATATATGTACCACATTAAGTTCAATCTTGACCTTTTAAGCAATACAATACTTTGACACGTTTATGCATATGATACGAGGGCTTTTTTATGACATATTAATAATTGTTATGACATTCTAAACTATGGCTTTTGTTCTGGCATTTTATAGCACACTATATTATTAATTCTTACATGACACTTTATACAATACTACACTATGACTTTTTATGCCATGTGTTACTGATGTTCATAATAAACCTTGCCTTGGGTTAGTCCCGCAATTCATTCCCTTGTGCTTTGTCGCCACCCCGTCTATCTGAATTATGTTGCATTGATACAGTGGTCCAAGGAGTTATCACAAACTAAGACTGTTTAGTTGTGATATCTTAAATTCAATGTATAGTATATACAATATAATCTGGCAAGTGAACATTGATTAAAGACTTTTCTAGAGTAAACTGGTGCAGAAAACTTGTTTTAGAAAGATGAATATGATAACAGGATTCTCTTCCGTTTCTGCAAGATTTTTCAGCTTTTTGAAGATCCGCCAATAGCCACAGTCAGGAAGGATATGGCTGAATGTTACATTCAATTTCTATTTCTCTCTGACCTCACCCATGGTGATGGCATCAAAGACACCCTGGCAGTAGAGAGGTTGCCCTGTGGTCTCATGCCCGTTGTGAAGCTCTGTGAACTCCCACTCCTGCAGAGCGGCGTGCAAAACTTGGCCTGGCAGCCTCACAGGGCGATCACCTGACGGCTTACCTGAGGGAACAAACAAAGCAACAACACAGTGAACCTAAAAGGCTTCAGACAAGGCCATGTAATAAGAATCCACGTACTGGCATAATCCCTTTCAGTAGGGTTGTTGTCCGTCCACCTGTGCTTAAATTTCCCACGCATAGTTTGTTATTTAAAGCCTACAGTGACCAAACTAAGCTGTGAGGACAGACAGTCTAATTTCTCAAGCATGTCAACAGCAATTTAAGTATTTCCAAAATTGGACAGCATGGGAACAATGTACACTGATGGATGACATTGTACTGCACAGGAAATAAACAATGGCGCACACTGGAACCTTAAAAGTATTGTGTTAGCACAAATAACATCTTTTTTTGGCCTGTACAGCATAATAGTGCAGATTTCTGGCACATGAGATGAAAAGAATAAAGAAAGACTCAAACAGTACAAAAGGAAAAAGAACAACATACCAAAGCATAAGAGTGCTGCTCAGACATGATTACAGTCATTTCGTTTGCAAGGAGTTGAACAAACATTTGTGTAGGAGGTGGATAAAATCAGCACACCCAAGAACAGGAGGAAGACGGCAGGAAAAATAGACACACACACACACCAGAGTGGATAACACATGAATAGCTGTGTAGCGGTGTGTGAGAGAGAGTGTGTGTCTGTGTGTATGTGTGTGTAGGAGCAGTGTAGTAAGATAAGGGCTGGTTGTCTGACCTCACCTCCCTCCTTATGCTGTTTACATTCATCAGTGGTGCAAGAAGAATTCAGAATGTCATGACTATTATTAACAAAATGTGCTTAGTAATAATTAATGATTGTAAAACCACTGCTGTTCATCACACATACTATACACACATTATCTTACAGGACAGACTTCTATAATATAAGATATAAGATATAAGTTCCATGCATCTTGCCAAAGAACAGCCAGAGGAGCTCTGGAGAGACTGACATATTCAGAATGCCTCACTTCTGCTCATTATCAGATCACAATGCCAACACCAGGAATGATTCTCTCTCTCTCTCTCTCACACACACACACACACACAACCAGATATACTCACATTGCCTACAGCTCATATCTTTAGGCAGATGTAACGTTTTTCATGAGGCCTACAGACCTGTCAGTTTTAGTTTCCTATGCATCTGGAGTTCCTTGACTTTTACGTGGGAGCAGCTGCAGTCTGCAGAAATTACTGCCACAGGGTGGAAATCAGGATGATAAGCAAACATGTCTGAAGCATGTTTCATTTCGCTAGACTGAGCAGAAGGATCCTGGATGACAAGCATCTAAAAAAAAAAGGTTATCAGAGTAAGCTGCCAATGATTTAAAGACTGATGAGCAAACATTGCCAGGTTTAGCTTTCAGTGTAAAAGCAAAACACGTAGAGCTATTAATTCAATGGTAGTATATGGTCACATCAATTTAAAAATAGTGGCATTAAGTGCAACAGTTATTGAGTGTAACTGAGCTGAAAATGGAAATGTGTGTCTGAGGCAGCAGAGTGGTGAGTTGCCGTTGTTTTAATGCAGAGTGAACAAGGGAGGCCCTGAGGAATAAAGGCTGGCAAATACCATGTTAGGAAGCTGAGGCCAGAATATCACCAGAGGCAAAGCAGATGGGAAATATCCTCAGTTATTAAACACAGAAAGAGGAATCTGGACCCGGGCTGCCTGCAGGCTTCTGTTGATCTATATCTCAAGTTTAGAGTTGTATTATCCAAATGATTGTGGGACTGTCCTGCAGCAATGCAAACATTCCTGCAGCATTCGGTGTGTTCACTGGCCCTTTGCAGCTGTTCGACACCTCATTTCAGAGTCAAAGCAGGGTAAGCACTTGATGCACTATTTGCATCTTGAACATTCAGCGTCGCACACCATCACAGAGGGGGTCAAGTAGTGGCAGAAGATACTTTAAAGACAATGTTCTTGCGCAACTGCTGCGGCAAAGTCAGCCTCTTTGCTGCAGAGAGGGCACACGTAATAGAAGAGCTCTGCACATGTGGAAACCTGCCTTACACATGCCAGAAGGAACAACACGCTCAAGGTAAACAGAAACTATTACATTAGTCATGCACACAGATGTATGTAAAGCTCCACATTCTGCAGCTACCGCAGCAACCTGTTACAACAGTGCCGACAAAGCTGTGTGTGTGTGTGTGTGTGTGTGTGTGTGTGTGTGTGTTTTTTTCAGGGCAGAGTGTTATTATGACGATCACACCAACTCTGCTGCCCTCAACCTACTTTTCCATGCAGCTGAGAGGCCACAGAGCTGCAACTGATAGAACAAACTCATCGTGCTGTTCGGGACAAACTGAACTAAAAGCAGTGTTTGAAAAAAAGAAATAATAATCTGCTCTTTCTCTTTCTGTTCTATAGAGAAACCTTTAAATAATCTCGCTTGTAATCACATTTTTTGTTGGGAGCTTTGTTTCACGAGAAAGACAAACAGCAAGAAATAAACTACAAGCAGATAGCTTTCTGGATCCAGAATTGTTACGGTCATTTTTTGTCAAATCTAGGTTTTAATGAACTCAGGGAACTCTCAACAGCGCTACTGCTCTACTCATTCTGCGTCTGCAGCTGGTGGCCTTCAGGCGGCCTCTCTGGCCTTTTCACAGATCAGTGCCACGACTCCCGCTTTAATGGGCAGCAGAGTAAAAATGCCTCTATTCCCGCGATTCCTCAAAAGACAAGTCTGGTTCCAGAACAAGTCAGTCAATCATGTAAGTGGTTCTCTGTATTACAATAACAGTCCATTCTATACTGCAACCTCAACTCACCATCTTTAACCCAGCCGTCCTGAGGCCAGACAGTGGCCAGTCGTCATTTGTCCACTAAAGCGTCCATGAGTTTCTAACAATGAACCCACAAGCAGGATCTGCGCCATAAAGAGATGTCATCTCACCGTACAGCTGCTGCACTGCGATGATGTCGTCCCAGCTCAGCACCAGGCTGCGGCCGAGCTTCCTGTAGTACGGCGACATTAAGGCGTGACGGACGGGGGAGTGCTCCAGTCCCAGAGTGTGCCCGATCTCGTGGGCGGTCACCATGAACAGGTTGTGTCCCTTGTGTCCGTTTAGCGTCCACCTCTCAGCCATGTCAAAGTGGGCTTCCCCCCTGCGAGGCAGGAAGGCGTGCGCCAGAGTTCCTCCTGAAAGTCAAAAAGGAGCGAAGCAGTGAGAGGCAGTGTGTTGTACAGTGTCAGAGTACAGTATTGGACTGAAATAAATACATTCTCAACTGCTGAGCGGTGGCTTGAGTAGGTCACTGCTCAGTTGTTGACTAGTTGGTTTATTTTCATTGTCTAGTATTATTGTGAAAACTCAAACAGCAATTCTTGTTCAGCTTTATGTATTCAGGAAGTTGGGATCAGGATCTCATTGACAAGAGAAGTCTAAAGGGCAAATTACATACACAAGATCATGCCACAAAACAATCATCTCACACACACACACTGATTTAAAGTATGGATCAGATAGGCAGATCCGTGATGACTTGACTCAGTGTGTGGTTGTCCCTGACCTGGTCCGTCGAAGGCATTGCTGGCCCCGTCGTTGTGGTCTCCCTCGTAAAATGCCAGTCGGATGTCTGCGGGGCCTTCGGCAGCCTCCTGGAACACCAGGCCCGATACGTTGCTCCACAGCTGGAAGGCAGCACGCACCGCCAGCTGCACGGAGCCCAGAGACAGGTGGCGAGGCCAATTCACTATCTGGTAGGTCAGGTGACGTTTGTACCACTTCTCAGCTGGACAATACATAAACGCAGAGAGAGAGAGCAAGAGGAGCAGATATATGAAACAGGCAGGCATGAAGCTCACAATCGTATTCACCGCAGACTTACAGCCAGTGTAAGCTCAAATCACAAAAGAATAAAAAGTGTTTCTGTGAGCAAAAAAATTGAAGGGAATTGTTCGATTTTTCGTTGTAGTGCCACTCCACCTTGTAGAGGGCGGAAGATGTCTGTTGGCACTCAGAAAAGCAGAACTGTAGGCAGGAGTCCATGCAAGAAATGTGGCATTTCTTAACAGTAATGTTAATACAACACAGGCCAAACACAAAGCCTGACAAGCTCAAACATAACTAATTCAAGTGTAAAACCTGCAGCCTCAGCAAGCTGCCACTTCACCCACTGGCCTTCCAGCCTCATCTGACTTGAATCAACGGCTTTTCAAATTTCTGTTACCGAGATCGCATCTGACAAAGTCCTTCAAACAAATAAATACACACTGCAATTTGTTTTCCTCCCACTAATCCGTCTGTTTCCTTTCTTTTTGTTTGCAAGCTTGTTTGAATTCATGCCTGGTGCTTCTACTGGTTTTATCATTGACATTTAAGGTGGCTTTGAAAAAAGGTTTCATAAACAATTCATATTATTATTACCTACTGGAGTAGATATGTATTTACATCTTGCATATCCGTTTTATAAATGTGGATGCCAGACATCCCACGTTCAACTGTGAGGCTTTGAAGTAGAGTCTCTCTACATCCAAAATGATAGGATGTTAACCACATTAGCTCACAGCTGGGTAAGCTAACAAGCACTCTGAGCACACTCTTGACTAAACAATTTACTTCAACACACGTCTGTGGCTTCTCAGCTTAGATATAATTATAATGTGTCGCAAACTTCAGAATCTCACATTCATTTCGGGAGAGATGGAAGTGTGGAGTTAAATTCAGCCGTTCTTTAAGTTACAAAAAGGCTAATCTCTCTGTGTAGAAATAGGATTACTGAATGTAGTAATCTGAAGACAAAGCAAATAAAAACAGCAAACAATGCAGCACAACAAACGAACAAAGAGGCACCTCACAGGAAACAATCATTCATTATATGAACCTTCGAGGGAAGGCAGCTGGAGACGCTGGACTGTCCCAAGTCCAAGAGGGGACCGCGGTGATGAAAGAGTTGGTGAACACATTCTAAACAAGAGGATAAGAGGCATTTTATGAAGTACAGTTCGCTGTAATAATCATCTAAATCATCTCCAAAAATACCGAACCCATTTCATATTTTCTGGGCTTCAGGTCCTCTAACTTTTTCTTATTGGCAAGACTCTGGAGATAATGAACATATTTGGAATAGAGGATTTTAGCTCATTTGTTACATTTTACCCAGAAAATATCCCAAATAAATGTAAAATACAGGCTGAATATCTCTATAAAATAATTATATTTCAAATCATATATATATATATATTATTCCGTTGACATGACTTCATGCAAAGTGAACAAACAACACATACAATTGTCCCAACAAGGACAACAACGTACTGTATATAGTACATAGTTGATGTTTTCAAAGTCTCAAGGTTTTGAGTCAAAAAAAAGGAGACCCCTGCAAAAGGTGAAGTGGCAATAACTCTTCAGGGTAGTGCCCTTTAAAAGTATTTGTACTTGTATTTGTAAGAGGGCTTGAGAGAGGGTGAGGACACAGAGTGCTAGAATCTTTACAAACTTACACATCCTTTCACATTTGGGGCTCAATTAGAGAGTGGCAAGACAAATCAAGCACACTTACAGTTGCCAAAATATTTAAAGATGCGGTCGGTGTATGTTTTCCACGATGTGGAGGCCAAATGCAAGTGGGAGGTCTGCAAATACTTCTGCTCACTAATACACGGAGGCAGTCGGGTTTGAGAATGTGGACCCTTGAGTTATTTAGATGCCGTTTGTGCTGGGTTGAACACAGCAGAGAGTCATGTCAAAGATGAGAGCGATAAACAAAAGGTATGCTCTGCATATACTGTGAACCTCAACAGCTCCCTGGAGGAAGGAACATATCTGGATATCTGGAGCCATTAAGACACGGTGATGGCATCAATGTGTGTTTCTGTTTGTGTAAACACACAAATAGAAGTTGTGCTTCAGCAGTAAACGCAACACAAGTCTTGGTGTAAACTTGATCCTTGGTATTTACGCTTCACAGAAATGTGAGATAATAAAAGTGAAAGCAGCAGCCCCGCGAACACTACAGCTGTATGGGAGTGAATAACAATCATTCCATTGATTTGCATTCATTCAAGGGAAAATACTTTGCCTACGCCAACCAGTCAAATTGCAATTTACATCCATATCTGTCCAAAACGTCATGAGATCATAATTTTATCCTATTACACATTTGTGTGAAATTGTCATAATTAGCATATCGCAGTGACCCTGACCTTTGACCAAGAAATTCCCCGAAGCAGTCCTGAGATATCGCTTTCACAAAAATGGGACGGATGTTGTCTATAAACGGGCGGACATTCCAAAAACATAATGCCTTTGGCCACGGCTGGTTGTCAGCGTGGTGGCATTAAAAAAATGGGTGCAAGAAGGTAAGAATTGAACCTCAGGAGTAATTTCCCTGCCGTGACAACCTGCATTCTCCTTTTAAAGTCAGATTTGTATACACAAGTTCATATCTGGAACACTGGATGAACTATATGCATTAGGCTTGCTGCCACATGATGTGAGTAGTAGAAATGTATTCTCAGCAGAGCCCAGGCGCCTTCTCTCCATCCCAGACCGCCGCAGAGTAAGAGGTCCCCGAGGACTGCAGGGAAGCCAGGAAGTCAGATACACAATACATTCCCCGACTTCCCTTATGGAAGCAATTATCATGATGCCCTCTATAGCAGCGGTGTGGGGAGGGAGGGTTATCACAGACATTAGGAAGTGACTGAGATCATCTGATAGCCAGAGTTATTGTTTGTGGAGGTGCAGAAATATGTTGTTTGGTACTGGTGTAAGCTTGGAGGCTGTTTAACACAGCTAAACACTAAGGTCAGCACACTAACATGCCCACAATGACAACCTGCTTGGGTCAAACAGGTTCGCCATCTTAGCATTTCAGCAATTACTAATCAAGCAATCGTGAGCAAAACCCTGAGCTCCAATCTGTGCATTCTGCTGAAATAGTGTAAAATTACAGTAATTGATGTTGTTGTGAAATGGCTAACAGTTGGTTAACAGTTTCCAGGCCAGGGCACAGAATCCAACAGCGCACATGTAAAACAATCACACACACACACACCTATCACAGTTCCCTCGCTTATCTTGGACATGGGTGGTGGAATGTCAGCTCTGTAAATATCAGAGGGAACGACCATCAGATACCAACACAGGTCAAGGTTTGTTTTACGTTTCCAGCGAGCTCAGAGGCGACCACGTTCACACAAAACAAAATCAAATCACACCACAGCTGAGAGTGAATAAACAAGCTGCCCGTCAGACTCATCTCTGCAGGCTGGGTTTAGCAGCCGGTGCCAGCTATCAAGGTCAAACAGCTCCAAGAGTTAGCATTAGGTTCTTGTCAAAGTGATCACAATTCATCCTGACGAGGACAAAAAATGTCTTTACCAAATGTCAAAACATTTCACACACAGCAACAAATGAATGGCTCTGGAGGAAAAGTCCGGGACTGCTGAACTCAGAAAGATTCATTCCAACAAGAAAGAGTTGTACACAAGTAATTAAAAGCGGATTCTCTGGCATGTGTCTGAATCTGTTTGACCCAATGCTCTATCCAAACATTAAACTCTTCAGTAAGATTTCTTCAAATCCACGTGCAGAAAGATATCTGCTGCAACTGTGTCACAACGCAAACTATTGTTTGAGTACAAGGCGGTGGTTACACAGCCTTACTATAGTCACAATGAAGTCATTACATTGCTAAACTAGATCAGTGGACGTCAGATCTGATATAATAAAAATAATACTGCCACATGTCATATGAGTCATGTCTGGGTCTAAAATAATGACAGAGAGTTGTTTTCCTAATCAAGAACAGGTTGTGATCCATCCAAGACAATCAGTCAGCAAGATATTTACTCATTCAGCCAGGAAGATTTCGGGCCATTTAAATAGTCAGCCAGCCGGGCAAACAACATAATTCCAGCCAGTCAGTTGTGGATGTGTTTACCAGAAGGAACGCGTCAGGTACCGACATGAAGAGGCAGCAGCAAACATCAGCCACCGCTGCATTCCCCGAACATTAGCCAACCTCGTCAGTGACAGGAAGGAATGCAGAGGCTTCACACATCATAAGGCCGGAGGCACAAGTAGAGACAGAGAGAGAAGAAAACCTCCTACTCCTGGGGTTGTCACCAAGGACTGCTGCTGCTGCTGCTGCATTCACAAATGACTGTGAGGAATGACAGCACCAGAGAGACAGTGAGAAATGTAAACATAAGTCATTAAAGACACATATGTATCGTGTTAAAATGGAGCCTTTAAGTTTATTCACAGATACCCTGAGCCATATGGCTTCAACAACCCCACCTGATCCCCATGCATGTGAAGGTGAAATAAATGCCCCATCTATAAGGTAAAGAAATCCATTTTAGTTTAAATATTTTGCCCCAGCTCCACTCAATGTCTCCCACACGTTTATAAAACAAGGGAGAAACTATACCTGTTAGTAATTGTCAAAGATTTCTGGAAAGCACCCTAAGCTAGGAGGGGACCTCAATTACCTCATGGAGTCTGCAAGAAATCTGGCAGTGGCCAGCTGCACTCTTAACTACTTAAAGCCCGTTTAAATTGCACACCAGTGAATGCTTTTATTGCTGTGTTTAAAAGAACATTTGCAGAATCTCTAATAAGAGCCTCACTAATTCTTGAAAGGAATTTAAAGGAACTATCAAACTACACAGAGACGATACTGGTCCAAAACTGTAGTATTTTTAGTGGCACAACTTGGAATAATTGAGGATTGTTCTTAAACAAACTGGAGCTGCAAGATACATTGCTGTTGTTCGAAGGAATCCCAAATCATTTTACAAACTAAGAAAAACTAGACTAGTTGAGTGGTCTTTTGGACTCAAGGGATTCTCAGACTTTCTCAAACCCACAGTGGAGCACGCAACTTTTAAACTAAAGATTTTCACCAAGCGAAGATAAAGTACAAGATACTTTGACTTGCGTAATTGCAGGTAAAAGCAGGAACCGCCCAGGCTGACGCGTGCAACGTCAGACACTCCGACAGCTTTAATTACACCCCTCAGCTCTATTTAGTGCTTTAGTTTATTGGTGCAGACCCTCCCAGTTAACTGTCTTCAAGACCACTCCTCAACAGGACACACAAACCTACACATACAGGGCAACAGGGATGCATTTGTTGTTGCTGTTCAATGAAAGCTAAAGTACAATGTTACATTTTTGCCATTTTAATCACATTATTTCACGTTAATTCCCATGAATTCCTGTTAATTCCGTTAGTTTCCACCTTGAAATTTCCCAGCATTTTGCCCATCCGGACAATGAATGATGTCACAGCTTTCCAATCTTCCATGCACATAAAACATACATGCTGCTATGCTCTCTCATGATACTCAAAAACAAACCTGGTGTCTCACACGTGTACATGTTTCACACAATACCTTGTGTAGCAGAGCGCTTCCTGCGGCGCCGTGGTCGCCTGAGAGCGGCGCCCTTTCCGGTGAAGATGACGTTTACTCTCTGAGTCCAGATCTGCTGGCTGCCCTCATCCGACACCCCACAGCGGGGCTCCGCCATCTGCCTCAGGGTGACGCTGTCAAGCTCGCCTGTGACAGGAAGCCGGGAAAGCCACTGGAACTCACTGCGGAGAGGGGAAAGGTTTGCATGATTCTCTTCAGGCAAGTTTAGAAAAGTGTAACACATTGTTCCTAATGATTCTGAATAAAGTTATGTAATGTGATTGCTTTGGGTCATGAAGTCAGGTTTTTTTAAATACAGGAGCAATGGTTCAGGAAGTTCATAAACTCAATTATTTAGAACCATTTTTCAAGTGTCTCAATCACAAGATGACACTTTACATGTTTGTCAACCACACACAGTTTACTACCCAACACTCAGCACAAGCAAATCTTTTCAATCAGTTTGTATTATTGTACAGTCAGTATTTTGGCCAGAGGGCGAGGTTCTTGGCATTCCTGGGTGGTTCAGAGAGGGTTCAGGAGAGGTGAGGGTGTGTTTTACTGCCCTGCACTGGCGTTCAGCTCCGGGGCTCTTCCCACGCCGAGCTCACCCTCCCCCCCTGATGAACGCACTGAGCACCAGCTAACTGTGGTCAGCAAAATGTAGAGGAAAAATATGCATCACTTTGTTCTGAAATCCTATCACGTAAATTGTACCACCTACCAGATAGCTGACTGCATCTCTACTGCATTGTGGATGTGGTTGTCCTGATGGAGGTAGCCGTACTTTTCCAGAAAAACCTGCAACAGTTGATGTAAAACTTGTTAACACTACTTCAGAACTGCTCCAACTAAACACAAAAAAAACTTTGTGATTATTATTGTGCACCCAAGACCCCCTCTGTAAAAAAAAAAACGAGATTATTTCACAGTAACATTTTGCCTCTCATACGAACACACGCTGGTAAATCCCCAGAGAGGCAAACCTCCCCAGGAGGGAAAGGAACAAATCATAAAAGTGTAAAGATAATTGTCCATTCATACTGTAGCTGCTGTAGGTTGTCAAGGCGGATGTATAGATCTGGACCACCCATAAGAGAGAAACCCCTGAGGTGTCCCAGAAAATTCCTAGTAATTATTTCTCAAGCATTTCATACAAGCCGAGAATACTTCAGCACCTATACAATAGTGTGAAAAAATGAACCGACTGGGTGCATGACAAAAGATGTTGTTGCATTGCGGTTGAGATTAGCCTCGTTAGTTTAATATTACGATCTCTCATGTGGATGTAGCCGGTTTCGTGTTCAGACAACAGCAGGCACAGCTATGATTACAGATGTGGTGAGGGTGAGATAGAAATTAAAATTGAGAAGACAGATGTACTCCAGTAAACAGGAAAGTGCACAAATGTCCCTTTGTCCCATTAGAGATACTGGAACATGCCAGAAGGCTTTTTATGTTAGCGCGAGAGTAAAGTTTGGGAAACACATGTAACAGCCTAACATTATATGCTCCTACAGCGCAAGGATGGCCAACGAAGACAGCTGGCAAATTAAACTACTGCAGTTCATACCACACTATGCCAATTAAATGGTAAAATCCCAAAGCACACTCGGACACAAACTGTTGTACTGGGCTCGGTCTTCTTTTTGTGTCACCATGTGCAGCACATTAACTTTTATTGCAGACAATAAAGTAAACATGTAGCAGTTCTCAAGCCAGTATATTTAACTTAAGTAGATTCACAACAGAAAAGTACAATTAATCCAATGTAGTGTTATGCTAAATGGCCTTGGTATGATTTGTAATATCCATATCCTAGAACCCTTTACATTTTTTTAAAATAATAATTAGGTTCATTTTCATTTAGGGTCGATGAACCACTGCTGTATGAAATATCTAGAAAATGATTAAACGGTTCCCTTTGCCACAAACTGAGCTTGCACATCTGGTTACAAAATGAGCATAACGCATTACAGTTAGCGTCACGTTTTATATTATATGGGCCGTGCATATGAACAATAATCGTTCCTTTTGTCAGAAGTAATTTTACAGTCAACGAAATGTAGTCCATCCTAGACCTGGCTTATGTTTGGTTAATCAGACCGCACAGGGATTTACAACTCGCACAAGTCTAAATAGGCTTATTGGGGACTTAAAAAGGTAAAGATACAGTCATCTACAATTATAGACTAAGCACATGAAAATAAATTACTCGTCTCAAACCAACAGTTCAAAATCATGTTTATAGGCAATTTTCATAAAACTAGAAGTAATTAAGTAGAAAGGCTAGAACAATGTTATGTATTCGAGCTGTTCAATTAAAGGTAAAATAACGAAAACACATTAGGATGAATGCAGGTCACACATTTCTATAAGCCGTTTTTATATACGCTGATCGCCAAAAAGTAAAAAAAACGCTTTTTATTCAGCGATATATCTCCTTTCTACCAAACACCATTAGATCTAAAGACAGGAGTACCTCAGGGTCCGGGACCAGCGGTGCTCCTCCGGCAGTCTGAGCGGTGAGGAGGGAGGTCACAGTCAGGATCCAGGCTGCCCTCATGTCCCGTCCAGCTCCACTCCGATCCGGAGGTCGGCGGCTCATTGCGGGACAACCACACTATCAACGCACCGCTTCACGCATTTCGGTGGAGCTGCAAATACTTTTTTTTTTCCCATTGTTGGATATCCTCGCTGTCAGTGACTAACGGAGCATGCTGCTGCTCGCCTGACATCTCCATCACCGCGAGGAGTGACGGAGCCTATTCAAGCCGCGTAGCGTGGGAGGAGGGCCAGCACCGCCCCTCTCTGTCCGCACTGCACGGCAGCAGAAACACCAGCTTCTCCTCCTGCACTTTATAGATTTAGTTTGATAATGTCCGACTGGATGAAATAGCAATTCATATTGAAAATTATGGCAATAAACTCACACAAAGCACAGAGAAAAGATCAGTCTTTTAATATCATTATGGGAAAAACAAACAAAAAGAAGTAAAACATGTAATCCGTTCATACAAAAACCAAAAAGATATGAAGTCTACCTCACAATAACATCTGCAACTAGAATCTGAGAGGAAATTAAAAAGATGTACAAAGAAATAAAACAAAACAGAGGAAAAAAAACCAAAAAACAAAATCAAAACAAAAAAACATTTGACCACATGCCAATCAGCCTCAAAGTCCCTATACAGTAGCTCAACACATCCGCTCCTCTTCGCTCACATGAGCAGTAATAGTTGGGATGCACTGGCTACAGAAAGCACAAATCAGACTGTCTGATTGCCGGTCCTTCCCCCCCAGTTTCCCCCAAACTAAACCCTCCCTCCATGGCGAACTCGGGGGCTGGGATGGTTTCCGTCTGCTCAACACCTAGTATGGCCGTTCTCTTCTGTCGTCTCTACGGTCACCTCTGTAGGGGAAAAGACAAATATGTCAGTTACAAGCTGAATTTTTTTTAACAAAAAAGACCAACATCCCCTTTTGTCATTGAATTAACAGTCGTCATCTAAACAGAGATGAAGGTGAGCCTTTGTCTTTTAAATATGTAATGGAGAACATCATTTGCAGTCAAACAGCAAACTGTCCTTCCTCTCACAACCCTCGATTAAGCACTTCACCTTCAGTGGGCAGCAACATATCAATTTACAATGCAAGACCCTCAAAGGACAAACACAGGAAGTGAAGGGTGTAGCATGAATATCTAGATACCAGACACTTTTACAACTTGGCTTCCTAATAAGCAGGGAGTCAGAACGGCTCTTTCATTTAACAGCCTTGGTGCCAAGATTAATAATAATACATTTTATTTATATAGCGCTTTTCATAAAACTCAGACACTTTACATTAAAATCATCATATATAAAAGCAATACACTAAAAACATAAAATACACAACAGTGGTCACACATTAAAAGCAGTTTTGAACAGGTGGGTTTTGATTTGAGATTTGAATGTGCAAAGGTCAGTGCAGTCTCGGATGTGTTTGGGGAGAGAGTTCCAGAGGGAGGGGGCAGATATGGAGAAGGCTCTGTCACCCCATGTCCGGTATTAAGCTACCGAATTTGGTAAAAGTGAAGAAATTAAGTATATTCAATTTGGTCACGATGAACAACAAATGTAATCAGATTTTAGGGTGTTGATTGACAAACATTGAAAGTTACATTAATAGGAAAAGATTCCTGTGAGTATAGTTTACTATGAATGTAGTGTATATATAGTGTGAAATTGGGACAAAGCACATCTGTGAGCAAAGAACAGATTCAGTATTTGTTCATTAAACACAGGCAGAATGCGCCCCTTTGTGGTCGTATAATCAAACTACATTAATAAAGACCAACAGATGTTGCAGAAGGACAACTTGCATGTAAAATGTAGACAACACAAAAAAATAAAACGAAGGATTTCACGAACCTTCCTCCCATTTTATAACCTCCTCCGAATCCACCACCACCTCCCCCGTAGCCTCCACGGTCTCCCCCACGGAAACCTCCACGACCTCTGAAGCCTCCACCTCTGTCACCGCCATAACCACCTCTTCCTCCACGATCTGCAAACAATCACAACAATTATGTCAATAACACACGGGGAAGATATTAGAGGGTAAAACAAAGCACTGGACAGACATGCTGGTGATATGTCAGACATGAAAATAAGCAAATCAGCTTTTCTGGTATAAAATTTAACTTGCAAGTAATTTAGTTCCATTTTAAATCCTGTATGTTTTCAATGATATGAGCAGATAGAGAAGCTCTGGGACAATGTTTTGTTATTAATTCTCACCACCACCACCTCCATCTCCTGGTTTTGGGGTGCCACACTTGTTACACTCTTGCCGCCGTGCAAAATTCATGTTGCCACAAGAGCTGAGGACAGAAATCAGACAGACATAAATACAAATTCTACTTCACAATGGGGCCAAATGAGCTCTTCTGATTTATATGAATACCCCTAAAACTTGCATAAAAGCACACAAACCTGTTGGGACAGGGCCAGTCGCCTCCCTTGATGTCAAAGCTTGGTCCTCCTCCACCGCCACGACCTCTGAAACCTGAAAGCAAACAATTGGTCAAAATCTAACAAGCACTTCCATTTTGGAACTAGATATTTGACAATTTGAGCCCTGGATCAGCTCGATCAATGCCCACCTCCTCCACCACCCCCTCCTCCTCCTCCTCGTCCACCTCCTCCTCTGCCACCTCCACCTCCAATTCCACCTCCTCTTTGTGTAAACTCAGCTCTGCGGGTGGCAAATGATACTTTGATGGGTTTGCCACTGAACTCCTTGCCTGATATGAGAAGACAGCACATCACCAGTTAGAGCGATACCGACTGGTATGAGTGCACGATGAGACATTTAAAAAAAAAAAAAGGCACGACTGTGGTCTTACCATCAAACCACTCAATAGCAGCTTTGGCAGAGGGCGGGTCATCAAATGACACTGTACATTCTCCCTTTGGCCGACCGGTGGCCTTGTCAGTGTAGATGTTGATCATCAGGAGGCCAGTTTTCTTGTTCACCTAAAACCACAAAATGAAGACAGGATTCTGTGACACCCGTTTAGGCTCGATGCCGTAACTAAATCCGAATGTGACCGATTAAGAGTCAACTATCAAGTACCGAATTTTCATTACGACGCGACAACTTGTGCGTCGTTGATTTGCATTAAAAAAAACAAATGTCACATTTAAGCAACCGACTAGAGAAATTAAAAAAGTAGAACAGACATTGGCTGTGATGAAGCCTCCGCAGTCATGATGCATGTTTCTGTGTAATTGATTGACAACATGCACGCATACCTTGATGATACCAATTTGCTTAAAGTAGTCGCCGATTTCCTGAACCGTGGCCTCTTCTGCCAGTCCCTGAACAAAAATGGTGTTGTTGTCAGAGTTGTCCTGATCACCAGCTGTGGAAGAGATCGACGGAGAGAAGACGGCAGCCGTTATTATATTGGAGTAAATATATTTGGACATCTACAATGTGCATCACACAAAAACATCCAATACCGTGTTAGGTGGGAGACTCACCTGGTTCATCCCTTGAGTCGAAGTCTCGAGAGCCTGTAAAACAGAGGAGACCACTTGAGTACGAAATTTAAACCTGTTGCTCTGTTTCACACAAATCACTATCAACTTCATCCCTATCGATGCGTAATGATAAAGAAAATTTAACAATGTCCATGTTTACAGCTCTCTGATGGGTGTTTTCATACCGTTGCATCACATACCAACACCGTGCAACAAGAACAGAATTGTTCTGGATTTTTTTGGGGAGGGGGGGGGGGGGCTTACACCAGAAATGAAAACAACCAAAAAGTCTCCAGTATTAGACTGTTTTCCTTCTTCGTCCTGGGATCACCTCTGTCATTTACTATCAGCCCTCGTCTTCATGCAACAATACCATTTTTTTACTACTCAGGCTCCTTGTTCTTTACCATATCTGAAGTCTTTAAGAGAAGAGGTGGACTCCCTTTGGGATCTGGACATGAAAATGGTGGCATTCACCGAGTTTTTTGTTTTTTTTAAATCCCCCTTTTCCTTTCGCTAACTCAAGTTCTTTCCTCCCCCACCGACACAGTTCTGATGCTCGTCACTTACCACCGTAATTTTTGTAGCCACCACGGTCACCACCTCTGCAGAGGAAAAATTGGAGATATGATGGATTTTTCCTTTGTCCCAACTGAGAGCTCAAAGCTCCCCTACATCCCCATCAGTATGCACTCCTGCCAGGGTGTGCGACTATGGTGGAAATGTCTCACACGAGGAATGCGTTAGTCGTAGACAATTAGAGATCAATTAACAGACGACTAGGCAGCTCTGATTGAACAACCAGGTATACGAGTGAAGACAATCACCACATCTGGACCACCATTTACAATAAATTTGGAACTTTTTACATGACCGGATTGGATGATAAGAGCCAGAAAACCGGCTGTTTGATTTTATTTCTTTACACGAGAAGCCAAATTTGTGTGAAAAGCAACTGATAAGCAATCTTCCACTGAGTGAGTCTATGAGATCCTTTAACTGAGGTCCAAGTTTTAGCTCAATCACTCTGAACACCTGTAGTATAAAATGTAGATCCACGTTAACACAACACACATGTTCTCCATTGTCATATATACAACACTTGAATGAAACCTGTTGAATGTGAAGCAGCTGAAGCTGTGGCTCTGGGTCTACGGGCGTGTTTCAGTTGTTGAAAAACTATCAAGCGGTCCTCAGAGCACAAGAAACACCAAAATTAAGTTTCTGGCAATTGAAAAAGTAAAAAAAACAGGAAGGCACAAAAAGAAAAAAGTCCTTTTATATAAAAATATGTAGAACAAATACTAAAGTCGGTCTAAAAAGACAAATGTATAAAGCGTATATATTTGTGCCCTCCTCAGACACATGAGCAGATGGGCACCGTGGCCAGAATCTCTTCTAAACTGAGAAGAGCCACTTTTGCAGGTCCTAAAATGGGGAAAGTATCATCGTATGCATCCGAGTGTGGACAACAAGTTCTTCCATATACAGGAGAGTTCTTCACATCTTAATGGACGATGTGCTTGTTCTGTTTCGGTTAGAGCTTTTAAGGTCTTTCAATAAGCAAATATTTCACTTGATACTATACAGCCTCTAAAAATGACACAAGGCTCTCTCTTTAAAATCACGGACAAAACCTGTCACAATGTCTGGAATATGATGTGGTTGTATATCCGGGTCTTTGGCGCCTAGGGTTGCAAAATTCTGGGAAACTTTCCATGGGAATCAACGGGTACAAAATGGAAATATGAGTTTTCAGTTTAGGCTGAATTTACCAAATCATAAGTACACATAATCCATTAGTTTGTCAAATAAGACTAGCAATGTGTCAAAAACATACAATGTGAAAGCCAACAGATGGTCTGTGTGATAAGTGAACAACCAATTCATAAAAGAAATGTTTCACAATAAAGAATGAATGGAAATAAAGTAATTAAAACTCATCAATTAGCATGCTCAATCAAGCTACACCCCACACGGTAACGATAGCTACCAAAAACTAGCAGAAGGCTACCACCTGCTGGTTAACCGAAACACAAAAAAAAAAAAATATATATATATATATTTTTTTTTTTTTTTTTTTTATTTATTTATTTATTTATTTATTTATTTATTAACACATGCATAAAAGCATGTGGTCCTTTGGTCCAGACAGCACAGTACATGCACAGGTTTAATCCACATTTAATGGGATGCTGGCCAATTATCTGTACGTGTGGTAGAAGACTGTACTGCTGAATTACTGACCAAAATGCCAATCTTAACTTTCCTTGAAAATTGACCCTTGCAACACTATTTGGGCCGACATGTTCAGTCTCCATTCATTTACTTACACCCCAATAACGAGCAGATTACAACTCATCCCTAAATAACCACCACTTATGTATGATTACGTATCATAACACCAGCACGTCTCCTGTGTAAAACCTTCAGGTGAATCTGGTTTTGAAAAAAGAAATCTAAAGACTCAGGCTCTTAAAGCCCAATGCAGAGGGGTGGTAAATATTATAGTGATGTTAACTGACAAACTGACAACTTGGATGAATCGGGTTTAAAAAAAAATATAAATAATTAGCTATCGTTTGGGGATCTGAAACACAAAGCCAATGAGTGGTGAAAATCGTCAATTGGGATAGTTTGTAGTTGATGTGTGGAGTGACAAAAAGTCATGTCTCATATTTCACAGTGTATAGCGGTACCTTGGGGGCAGTGGCACTATGCAACTTACCCCATACCAGGAGGTCCTCCGCCACGGTCGTAGCCACCACTGCGGTCGTAGCCACCACTGCGGTCGTAGCTACCGCGGTCATAGCCGCCACGGCCTCGGCCTCTGAAGCCCCCGCCTCCTTCGGAACGATCGCCTTGGTCACGTCCAAACCGCCCACCTTCCTCACCTGGTGTACAGAAAGATTAATTGAGTGATTATCCAACCAGACAGAGTGTGGGTTACATTTATTCAAATGCATGTTATCTTCACCTTCACTCCATCTTCCATAGCTGGCACCGCCACCACCACCACTGCTAGCACCACCGCCGCTACCACCCCGTGGCCCCTGGCCACCATAGGAGCTCTGCTGTCCGTAGCTGTCTCCTCCTTGACCCTGGCTAGCATAGGAACCTTGCTGCCCCTGAGAAGAAGACGATGACGACTTGTCGCCATACCTTGAAAGGGTTTTAGCAAAAAAAAAAAAAACACATTACAGTTAGCACCACAGAGATGCCAAATATTTGAATCCATCAATGAGATGTTTCATCAAGTGGCTAAGACAAGCAGTTGTAAATTAAAAGTGGAACAGAACATTATAACAATCGTTAATCAAATTAATTGCAAAAGTTTATATACTGGTTTAATAGGCTGGCATTTCAGCTTCAAATGTGTAACATTATACTGTAGTTTCATATTAAATAGTTAAATGATGCACTGGCTGTACTACGTTGTCATTTTTAGAATATTTTAGATCTTAGCTAACCAAGTCATTTAGAGGCAAAGACAGAGACTCTTGCGTCACAAATGACAGAACTGATACAACTTAAAGAGGTCTCTGAACAATGCGATAGTGGTGCCTTACCCAGATGATGCCTGTCCGTAATTCTCATAGCTTTGTGGCGCAGACTGGCTATAACCCTCTGTCGAAAGAAAATTCACACAATTGATGAACATCAAAATGTGTTTTAATTTCTCCAAGAAAAACACTTTCTGTTTTGGAGGCAATGATCTCACAGCTAGGTTGGTCTAATTCTAATGAAAACTAAGTTCTGAGAATTTAACCATTTAGACAGTCATCAGTGCAATGTACCAGTCATTTCTGTTCTGTAAATTTCTTCTATTGAATATGCCGCATACTATACCTTGTGTTGCTGCTGCTGCTGCTGGTGCTGGTGGCTGTCCATAACCACTGTAACTCTGTCCCCCATAAGAGCCACTGCCATTTCCTTGTCCATAACCCTGCACAACAGAAAGTTAAACGGGTTATAATCAGCAAGTTAAAACTGATTTATAATTCTTGCAGCCAACAGTCTGACAGTAAAAAGGGTCTCACCTGTCCACTCTGCTGACCGGCATATGACCCGTAGCTACAAACAGATGATGAAAGATGTTAACTTCTGGTTTTATGTGCATTCAAAAACTCTTTCACCAGCCTTTCGTTTTCATGCATAAGGCTTTGAATACTAATGAGTTCAGTAATTTGTTTCTACATAGAAAATGTAATGCTGGTTTTACATTAGCTCAACGTACCTTTGTGAGCCACCGTAGCCTGAATCTGAAAGGGAAATAAAACAATGGTATAGCGTTAATATTTACGTTAAGTACAGTTATTAAAGCTTCGCCAGAGGACTTATTGTTTTAGAAAAACATAAAGAGTAATATCAAAGTGACAAACGCCATGTAGCACTACTAACGTGAGCTTGGACGTAAATAGGGCGGTTGTGTTACCAACAGGCCTGTCACCACGCCAATCCAGGAAAAAAAATGGCGGTCAATGTGGTACAGGCTTGGGCTAACACTTGAAGCGAGACAAACAACCATGGATTTGTAAATGTAGTTCAATCCTCGGCACAGTCTGATTTAAAACAAACGGTTAGATGCGACATTGTCAACTTTATAAGATAAGTACATTCACCCAAGTGCCCTTAATGCTCCTCGTTCAGCAGTGAAACAATAGCGTCGGTATAAACAAAGACACTCACGTGACGCTCGCTAGCAGACACAGAGCTAACAGCTAGCTCAAGCTAGCTAGCCGCGACAAGGCCCTGCTCAGGAAGTGGCGTTGCCTTATAATGTTACTGACCTCAAGGCACAGTCATGGGTACAACATTAGTAAAGTGTGATTACAAATCAAGCACCGTACTGAGAAAACGGGGGAAAGTTTACTCAAACACCCCGTAAAGTTATTTTTGTTCTCCTAATGAAAGATGAGCCATTTTCCAGGAGATAGACGGAGCCCATTTTCTGGCCTCGCGGTCGTCCGATAATTTAGCTCCAATGCTATTTGACTTACTTTTCATTATCTAGCTACGAAAAAAAGCATTAAAGTACATGTTAACTTACCAGTGGCCATTCTGTGACGTTGTATATGTAGTTAAAAATACAATGAAATCTGTTTCTTCTGACTAGTTGCTAAAAACCCTGGTTGACATCTACGCAGCGCCACCGAATTGTGCTGTACACTGCGACACTTCCCCCTTATGCAGCTTCTTCTTCTTCCTGTTTGGACAGACTGCTCGTATTCAAAGATAAATAATAACACCGCCGCCTACTGTTGAAAGGCTACAATACAATACACCATGGCCTAGCACTGCAGTTTGCGTGCTCTGTTATTAGTTTAAAAAAGATTAAACGGACCGAATTAATGTTCATGTTTGATGGTATCTTAAACAATGCTCACTCCAAAATACACACTGGGAATAAAGGGATTAAGGAGCATATTGGTTAAGTGTCAGCCAACAATCAACATTGATAAACATTAAATGTAGCCACAAGGCAGAATGAAAGTCATTGTGCATACTTCCTTCAGCTACAAGGACATTTAATTGAAACGTAATCAGTCATCAATAGCAATATTAGTTCCACGGGTGCTCTTCTTGCTATGAAAGGTTTATAGACACATATATTGATTGTACTGTAAAGTCTATCTTTATGGACAACGTGCCTCATGCAAGAACCAGTCGTACAAACAGATTTGTTCTTAAGTGGCTCATAGTGATTTGATTCATAGTGATTTGGGAGGAATTGTCCCATTCACTTATTTTCTCTTAATTTGAACTTTGTCTCGGATGCAAACACAATCTCGACCTGTGTCCAGACCTGTCGTAGGAGTCATGTGCAACTTGTCTGCCGTTATCTAAATCTAAGCTTTTCACTAATAGATTGTATAATTCATTAACTAAGAGAAAGTGACTTTTTGTAACCCAGAACAGGATTTATCACATCAGTCCTTAGAACAGATTTTGTTGCTATAACTTAAAAATAAAGGCAATCGCACGTCTTGAAACGGGCTGCTGCTGGTAACGTTAAGTCACTCACGATTACAACATAATCAAAACATAAACTCACTGCTGCCCTGTGTAAATTTAATCTCTCACCATTACGAGATAATTAATGTGACAGAGCTGTCTGACAACAAATGGCTAAAGGAGGTAAATATATTCATGAAGTTAAACCTTTTTGAATCACAAAAAAATTCACTGACCCAACAAATTATTCAAATTTTATGCACAAAAATATGCATGCCTTGATAAAATCAAACTAATACATTATAAAGAGGAATAACAACAACTGACTGTAAGCATGGAAGAAATAAAAACTGTTAAAAAGGCAGTGAAGCATCAGGGTTTAATTGCTAACTAAATACATAAGGCAAAGGTAAAAAGGCACAGGCTGCACTTCAACTGGTTGGCTCCTCAAACTCCCCATATTCACAAAAAAGGACTGACTGACAGATGTGGCGAGACACACCAAATCTTTTGATACATCTGGTCATCTTCTCCATGTAGTGGTGCATATGTGATTGGACAAGATAAAACAAAACAATACATATAACAAAATCGAGCAGAGGTGGTTGTCATATATCCAAGTGTTACTGCCACAATACAAACCCATTTCATACTCCTCTGCTGTCAGATGCATATCAAACAAACAACCGCCATTTGGGAGAACAGATCTGGTTTAAAGCACAATATTTAAACATTTTACAAATATTACAAGGTACATAGATTCATTTGCATCATGATTAAATTCCTGCTATAATGGGAAATAAAAAGCAAATAATCTCACGTTTTTTAATCTGTAAATGATCTTCCCCTTTGCATCACTGTTTGTGCCTCTTAAAGTTACTCTGACTGATAAAATGAACAGCAACGTATGCATAACAGGCAAAATCTCTTGTCAAAAGATAAATGCATACTAGTGATTACAATTTATACATCTTATCTAGAAGATTTAATGTATTTTAAGGACATTCTAAAGTATTAAAAGATCATCTGAGAGAAACTGAAGACAGCACCCTTCACACTGCACCAGGAAACATACAATGCTTCATATATTCACTTAGACACACGCATGATCCGATGTTATTTGCTGTGGTGTTACATCTATAATCCGTTAATCAATTAGATGAACGTTACAAATATCGCAAGATGGTAAACTGAATGAGCTTTCGACATAAATATAAATATTCATGTTCTCAGTGGAATTATATTGTGTAGACCAAGAGCTGGGGGCGCAGCGAGTACCCGTAGCACTCCGAGTGGTCATCAGCTGCTTACAAAGTTATAAAGCTGCTTTGATTGACTCATTAATATAGAAACTGAATTTAATAAAAAATTGGGTGTGAGACCACGGCTCAAGTGAGGACAGCAGCACACACACACACATTATGTCGTACCCTTTACGAAATACAGATTGAATTTGCAGAGTGTGTTCACCAACGAAAGCTGCTGAGGTAGTGTTTGCCTCATGATCTTCTGCTACATGTAGCTCTCATGAACCAGGGTGGCGAACACATGTGTAATGTTTATATATTCAGTCCTGATAAAACAAGACGCACAATAAAACATTTTTTAAAGCACCACTTTGAGTAGTGAGGCTGAGTCTAAAGTTCTTTAACTCCAGACATCTTGCGAGTAGCGTCCCTTGGTCATCAGTTTCTTGATGTAATCTGTGGCCTGTGTGCGCGTCATGCCTCCCAGTTCTTCTCCTATCTCGTAGAGGGCCGCCTGCACATCATGAGCCATTTTCTTTGCATCCCTAAATCAAGAAAGGGATCGCTTTAGATGTCGAGACGTCTTTGTTTAAGTGTCATTTTCCATATTATATATTTCTTTGTCCATCTACTGGAGGATTTTTTCCCTTTAAATTAAAATGTGATCATTAGCCACTAGCCAGCAAAGATGTTCATCTCAAACATAGTGGAAGTTATTTGCTATTGATTCAAGAATGATGGCAGTATAAACTAATTCTCACTCTTCCACTAGGAGGTGCCAAAGAGACTGTTTCCATATTTCAGCATTTGTTTAACCTCCTGTATACATTCCTTTATATCACATGGTCACAAATTATCAGTGTACCAAATACTACTCAATTCAGTATTCTTTTAAAACATAAACACATTAATGTGAAAGTTCAGTCTTTTTGAATGCATGTTATTTAATGTAAATCTTTTGCTGGTCAAATGCGTTACTTACCCGCAGACGTAGATATGAGCGTTGTCTGAGTGAATCAGCTTCCAGAGGTGCTCCTTATTTCTCTTCACTAGATGCTGCACGTACACCTTTATTTTGAAAAATGGAAAGAGGAAACATTGTTCACATGTGCATCACATGGTCGAAAAGTTCCACACACACGGACAATAAATAAGTAACAAAGGGTTTATCAACGCACGCGCATAAATTCTGTCGCGATATTAGATTTTCACCACACGATTATCATGCAACAATATTGTCACGATATCACCATGTCCACAGAAAAACATAAATAATGCTTTGAGTCAAATTAAACTTCAAGTGTAGTGAGGTGGAGGGAGTCTATAAACATAACTGTATATTTAAGAGGCGCTGGATTATTTACCCAATATTATATTATGTGTGTTAACATGATAGTAGTATTTTATTTTTATATATCACAGTTATGGGCAATACCAGTATATTGTGACATGCCTATACAGACTACAGTACATTTGTAATTCAAGTCATTATTTCACAAGTGTCTGAATTTGTTATTCACCAAAACAGTATTCAGTTACTTAAAAAACATGAAGATCATTTTTGGAGGCGTGTTTTTTACGTGTTTCAGGCAAGAAGAACTTTGATACGTAGCTCAACATGTCCCAGGACTCCACCCAAAGTTAAACTATTCACAACTTTTAGTTTGGCTGCACTTAGCCACCACTCTGCTGTGTTTATCAGTGTAACGACACTAACAACGGTGAGGTAGACGGCCGTACCTTTTGCTCCTGGTCTCTGGAGAAGGCCACATTGAGCTGTGTTAGAACTCCATTCTTCTCTGCGTCCTCCAGCTCCTCCTGGTAGAGATAATCCTCGTTCTTATGTCTGCAGCCGAAATACATCACCGTCTCGCCAACCTCCTTTCCTACAAACAAAACAAAAGTTATTATATGCATGATATTTATTCAATTCAGGCTCTTCCACTGAGGTTTTTAAAAAATATACATTTTCAAGTAATTCTCAGACTGGACTGCGCACACATTTATGATGATTTATAAGCATTTTTACTATCTCACAATTGCTACTGAACTAACAGGTCTGTGTTCAGAGTAACCCAGAATGCTAACAACCGAATTAAGGTTATTAAAGTACTGAATACTTGTATTTATTAACCGTACCCTTAAATGCATATTCAAATATTTTTGTGGGCAGTGGCGTGTACACAAGGACAGAAATGACACAAACATATGTGGAGGTCTTTGCCCTCATCGTTCTATACTTGTGGGGACATACTGTTGTGAAAAAGGTCAGACAAACAACAACGTAAAAACCTTGTTGTTTGAGCCAGGCTCTCTCTTGGATGAAGCCCATGAAGGGAGCGATTCCTGTCCCAGGGCCGATCATGATCACTGGGTTGGTGGCCTTGAAGGGCAGGCGGAACTGAGACTTGCGGATGAACATGGGAATGGTGGACTTGTGGCTGTTGTTAGTGACCAGTTTGTTCTTCAGCCAGTTGGTGGCAACTCCCTTGTTGACGCGGCCAGTCGGGGTCTCGTACTCCACCACCACGGCGCAGATGTGGATGCTGTTGGGGTGAACCTACAGAACGCAGTAGAGTTACCAACAGCTCTCTGCTTTAATTCTCAGATCTGAGCAGAACTTTTTTTTACTTCTTTGCTGCCAACACTCTTATCGACAACAACAACAAAAAAACATTTGTAAAAGAACAAGTTTGTGACAAAAGTTAAAAGGATAGAACTCGGCCTGTCATGGGTGATTTACCAGAGAATTACCTTTGAGGAGGAGGCAATAGAATAATAGCGAGCCTGGAGACGAGGCAGCAGCTCACACATGTGGTCAACGGGAGGCTTTAAAGAAGGCATATCCTCCAGGATAGCTAGGATGTTTCTACTGGCGGCCAACACCCAATTCTGGTAGAGAGCCTGCAGAGACACGGCAACAGAAAGACAATAACATGAAGCATAAGAGGTGGAAAAGGGGCATCAATAACATACAGAGATGAGATGAGATGTGACTGCAGATGTGTTTCTATGACATCAACTAGATAATAACATTATTCCAACACCAATTCATCGTTTCCACCTGGCACCGACCTTGCCCTCAGGTGAGGAAGAGGCCATCTTGCGCATGTTCTCCTGGTCTTTGGGGTCGGAGGCGTACTGTGCCAGCTCGTAGAGGACGTTGGTGCGAGGGGAGTTTGTGATGTCCAGGTAGTGAGTGAGGGCTGTGCGGTAGGAGGTGGGGCACGGGAAAGGGTGCTTCTTGTTGGACTCCTCTGCAAAATAAATAAACAGATTGTTTTTTTATAACATAAATGTTTAATAAAAGCTTAAAAATGTCATCTATAAATAAACAGTATAGATCATTACATTACATTGCAGTCATTTAGCAGACGCTTTTATCCAAAGCGACTTACAATTCAGATCCTATCACATTTCGACACACAATTTTGGGGTTAAGTGTCTTGCTCAAGGACACATCGACATACGACTAGTGGAGCCGGAGCCGGGGATCGAACCGCCGATCTGATTGAAGGACGGCCCTGCTACCCACTTAGCCACAGTTGCCCACGATCAACTTACTGTTCTAATTAATCTGGGAAGTAATTAGACTTCCCTTGACAAAACTTGAAGGGTCAAGGTTTGTCACGTTGACCCTTCACGACGACAGAAAATGAATGTAATTTATACCAAAAGTCAACAACTTATATGACAGCAATAACACTCTACTGCAGTAATATAACTCCACATAATGCATCTGCTGCAAGTCTAGATATCGAGGGAGGTTTTCGTGAGAGGGTTTCAGGGACAAGTCAGTAAAGTCATCGTGCTTCAGGCTTTCAATGCCATACCATCAAGGTTGTTAAGAGAGATAACTGCATCAAGGTCCACTCCAAGGACTTGTCCCAGCTTGTTCACCAATGCAGAGTCATTTGTGGGGAAAACGGCAACATGGTCTCCCGCCTCATATCTGAAATCACAGAGGGTGACAAATTCAGACTTTGACCTGTATTCATAAATTAATCATGAGCTTTTTTTTTTTTTCTTTCATTTAGTCAAAAGAGAGTTAGCTACAGACACATCCAACCGTTCTCACCTGATCTTGGAGCCCGTTATGTCTAGTTCCAGGTGCATAAGATGTCTATTGCCGGCTTTGTGGAGTCTGCGGTTGACCGTTACTGGGGCCAGGAACGGGTTTTTAGAATCATAGGGCCTGTAAATAAAAGAGAAACGCTTGTATGTAAAAAGGCACTTTCAAAAGGGCTGAACATAGAGATCACAAGAGAGATGCAACATCTAAAAATGAAAAGATCTCCAGTGTCCACTAGGGGGCAGAAAGCTACATTTCTTAGAAAGTGAACTCTGGTAAACTTGGTTAAACATGTGGGTGAAATGTGAGCAGTGACTGAGCACAAAGGACTTTCATGATGAATGAGTTCTGGTCGTGAGCAGCATCTTTGCTGAAGTACTTACGGCTTTTGGACCTCAAAACTCTTCAGGCGACCGATCTCTCCCGAGTACACTTTGTTCATGTTGAGGTCGGTGTGCTCCTTCAGCTCGTACTGCCGAATGCTGTGAGGGAAAATAACGTTTCAGTGTCTTCAGACGCTGCACACATACACATATACTGAAATCAGTTTGATTCCTCGTGAAATGAAATTGAAAAAGAAAGGATATAAAGATGACAAACTTGTTCTTGTTTTTTTTAGGATGAAGCATGCTCACTTAAAAACACTTAAAAAAATATTCTTGGCATTTGTTCAATTCACATACAGATGGGTGGGGTTAATCATGAATCGGATATGTCCTGTTATATAATCAGTCTTAGTCAAGATATGGATGTTTAAAAAAAGAATGAACAAAAAGACTTTGGGTGGAGTAAAATGTTAAAACCAGGCCCATATGAAGCTGATCTGCTGAGTCGCATTTGGTAATCACGGTGCAGATCACCTCGTAACTTCAGTCTGTGATTCAGGGTTCAACAAAAAACTAAACTAAACCAAAAATGTCAAGACTCTCAAGGCCTTTATCATCACATCGAATTGTTACAAACTCCTAAATACGCAAAACAATCAATGTACATCGTCACTTTGTTTATTTGACCAGCTGATCATAATCACAACTCTGATTTGATGTTTTGATCGTGGTACGAAATAATATGATGACTGGATCGTTTCATTTCAAACGTTAGAAGATTTTTGGTTTACATGAGTGATTGTGTAGATAAAATACCAGATTATGTTGACAATCAAGTATTATTCAAGGAGTATATTTATATTCAAGCATATTTATAACCTTGAAAACTAAATTATGTATTTTCCAAACATCCAAGACTTTGTACAAAACCTTGATTACGTGATTATTTTCTTCTCTAAACCTCAGCTGAAGGAACATGGTACCTGAAGATACTGCTACCATATCTTATAAAATAGACCCTATGTGCAAACTAACTTTTATCTAAAGAAGGCAATGTATCATGTAACATTTACTTCAGAGCACATAAGTTAGTGCCCCGTCATCATCTGTTTAATGTTCCCAGCTTTAAGACGGTACAGAAAGAGCTGATAAAGAAAAAGGTTTATGGTACAGAAGCGGACAAAATATGATAAGTGAAAAGAAGAAAAACTTGAAAAGGTGAAAATGTCTGAATGAACCTTGAATCATCTCCTAAGGCTTCAACTCCAAAGTGTTCACAGACGGCCGGCCAGAACTGCTCTCTCCATGAAACGAAGTCCTCTTCCAGACTGAAAGACAAAACCAGGCCAGTCAGCAGAGAAAGACATCGAAATACAACTTTATTCAACGAATTAGACTTCCTCTTTAGATATTAACATGTACATTTCACATATACAAGACTCGAGAATGATGGACTCTCTTTTGAAAAAAGGCTACCAAGTACTTACTGGTCCACAGCCCGTTATGTACCGAACACCTTTACACTCAGAAATGTTTAGTCATCATTTCCTTTTTGGCACTTACTTGCCATCATCGTCTCCTAACCCGAGGTCAAAGATGCGCTTAGCCCCGAGTTCCTCCAGCCTCTTGTCAACGTATTTTCCCATTGCGTTGTAGTGTTCATACGTCTTGTTGCCCAAAGCAAATACCTGGAGACAGAACAGGGCACAGAGACAAACCATCAGTGTGCACTTGGCTTAATCTTAAAGCAAACAAAGAGTTCATCTGAAAATGGAAAAGCACGTGAATGTTTATCAAGTTGCTGTCAGGCAATTAACTCTACTTAAATACAGAATGAAAACAACGTGCCAAACTCAATATTGTCCGACAAGAGACCCCGAAAGATCTCTGCGACTGTAATGAATGTCGTGGCTCTTACGCAGACCGGAGACAATAGATGAAATACAGCAGGAAGGACGCGACGGTGAATTTCCCACAGTCAAGTTCTTCACTAGAATGAGGCCAGAGGCTCTGCACCCCAACGATGACACAATGACACACACACACACACACACACACACACACACACACACGCACAGACGGCAAGAATAGCTGCTGCAAAGCTGTAGCTAATGGGGATCTAAATAAACTTAAACAGACGACACACAAAGCCCTTTCTTTCACACAAAGGCCGAGCCAGCTCACGCTAGTGGAGCCTGTACGTCAGCGAGGCAAACTGACATAGCGTGACTCACTAAATAAATGGGTTGTGGTCCAAACTGACACGTAACAGTACCTCTAAGAAAACATCAAAGGGGAAATCATTTGCATTATTACAGTGCAGGGGTTTGGTCGGGAGCTAAACAGAAGCTATTCAGTAAATGTGCACATTGAAAAACATGGTCACTCATTTTAAGTCTATTACATCAACTGAACTCATGATTTTAAAATGAGTAAACACATTAAGTCAATCAATAGACCATTCATCAGCAACTGTTACAGCAAATTATTAATAGCTCAGTGATTTGTAATGCCACATGTTGAATGGTTTCTTAGTTGTGAGCAATAAATGACTTCTGGTCCTGAATTACTGTAAATTAAATATTTAGTTTTATTGGGTCGGATCTGGGCTCGATGACGTCACACTGGGCTCTAGGATATTGTGACGGGGATTTTTCACCATGTTCTGATGTCGTATGGACCAAACGATAAATTCAGGAGAAACTAAAAGGATGGGTTAATTGACGGTTTAAATAAGCGTGAGCTGCAGAACAGAGTGTAACACAACTCTTGTACGGTCACTGGCATCATGCTACTGGTCCCCTCTGTGGTGCGTGTTGTGCTTATTAAACGGTTAACCTAATGCCATCACGTTTATGCACCACTAACAACAACATAATTCCTATACGATCACATTTTATGACAACTCTCAGAGTTCTTGTGAGCTCGTAAAGTATTAAAAAGACATAATCTGAGCATAAAGACTCACTGTGTAGGTTAGTCCGGAGAGATCTTCGTCATCGTTTTCCTGCAGCCAGTCATAGAAGTCCTGGGCGTTATCGGTTGGGTCTCCTTCACCATAGGTGGCCATGCAAAATATGGCGAGGGCGTTTTTAATTTCAGACAGACGGGACAGCTCCCCCTGGAACACGATGAGACATAACAATCAGAGACAGTGAGCTCTGAAGAACTAATCATTTTAAGGACGTTTGTTTGCAAGAGCTGCTCTGTGAGCAAACAAGTCATTACAGATGACTAACAAATCAAAGTATATCTTTCACGCCTATCCTGGTTCTCAAAGCAGCGTTGCCGCACATTCTTGGATGATGCATGAGGTCATCATTTTTTTCACTTTGAATAATTGTGACTGAAATAACTTGCTCATCATGATCCGAGCACATGCTCTTTGGACTCATTTGCCTGGACATGTTTCAGTACCGCAGAGTGAATGTGTAATCAGAAGATCACTCTACTCTGGCATTGTTATAAACTCTTATTTGGCTCGGTTACAATCTGCCATGGTTTGCGTATTATGTCGTCGTCATCACGGTTACAGATTATATAACCACTGAGGTTTAATGATTGCTTTGCCAAAGTAACACAGAAAGACCTCTGTTCATTTTATAAATCAGAAGTCTGAGTGTTGTTCCACTGATGCAAATTACCATTTCATACTCCTCTGGATCGGCAGCCATTCCTTTCATGCCGTAGCGCTGAGCGTCTTTGGACAGTCTGTTAGCGAACTCCTCCCCTGTGCCCGTCTGGGAGCCGTAGAACACGATGATGTTCTTGCCCTGGTCACACACGGACATTTACTTGCATTTGCTCGGGTCGTGTAAAAGCGTTCTCCCACAACTACGATAACAAGCCGACCCTTCTCTCTCTCTCGTCCGTCACGTTATGAAACACAAACCATGTGCGACCACAACAGATGCAGAATTTCTTTTGGAATTTACCTAAATGTGTGTTTAAAATGTACTTTCTCCCACATTGCCATCTAGAGTGACAGGGAGATGATTTTAGCACAACCCAAACTGCATAAAAAGACTAAATAACTTCACATGACTTGAACTTAACACACACAAACAGAAAAAAGACATTTCTCTGACATACAACTTATCCATCCGTGCATGCATTTGTAAGAATCCTGAAATACTTTTCCTTGCCTACAGTGTTGCCATGATAATTCATAACAAAGAACAGAGACTAAATTAAAGGGCACTGCGGACCATTACCATGGTATCTGAACTATTTGCTGCAAAAACCACATGATTCAAAACCAAAGTATTTTCTCAAGGCTGGCTTGTAAACTGTGAAGCATCAAAGTCAAAACTGTGTTTCTAAATCTAGAACTGCACACAGTATTATCACAGAAGCAGAGGAGACCGTTGCAGTCATCGTATAAGTGATCAAATAAATGAAGTTAGCATTATATTCTTCCTCCACTGAGCAGGAAGAGGTTAAACTTACTAAAACCCGACCATCAACAGGTCTTTACGGGGGGAAACTACTGAGGTTGATCAACACCTGGTGAAGGGCCTCAATACCATTTAAAGTTAAACAATTTCAAGTCCAAATGGCTCACAGTCTTCTTTTAAAACCCTGAGTGATGTTTTCAAACAGCAGCAACCAAACTGCTTCTGGAGAACAACTCTATGATGGAAACATGAGACATCAGACATTGACCACAACTGAAGCAGAAGTGACGGGACGGACGAGGCAACATCACTCACTGTTTTCTTCATTTTCTCGATGAAACTGGTCTCTCTTGTTGTGGGTGCTCTGGGGGAAGAAAAACAGGTTTGACAACACGTTTGTTATAAAAGTAATGATTAGGCTAAAAAAAACACAAAGAGACAACTTCTACCTACTAGCAATAACCATGCTCACAATCAGTTGTGGGACATTAAAGGGGAGGGGCCATCTCGAACGTTGCGTTTCCAAACCGCAACCCACAAATCCTACTCGTTAATGTAAACATGGTTTAATTAAGCTCAACTTCTTTCACCAAAGTTATACATTCCGTGTCCGCAAAGGGTCCATGTGATGTAAATGTGATCTGCGTAGGGTGTCCGCGGATCTACTGAGCGTGTGTGGAACGCGTCCTCCAAGCGGACAGTAACATGTATGAAAAAAAGTTACTTAAGTTTTTGTTTTAAGCAAGTGAAGGGTTTTGTCTGATGTAATAAGTGCACATTGCACCAACTCTTGGGCAATGTGCACTTATTGTCTCGTTATTGTTAGTGTTATTAACGACAGGGAGTAGCAGAGCAGCGACTCAGCAACCGTACAAGCATGAGTCACACTGACTGTGCGTACAGTAAGCATACCAGAAACATTAGCACATCAAAGTGTGAATCGGTTGATACGTTGTCATCACTACTGGCTACACCTCACGGAAATTCAGACTCTTGATACAGGTTCATCCAGGGAGTAATTAACGGACGGAAACAGATCAAAACAACATGTGCACGCACGCACGCACACACACACACACACACACACACACACACACACACACACACACACACAGCATGAATAAAAGAAAAGGGACGCAGGAAGCAAAATCTATTATTGAGCCGAATAAAAGGCAACGCCGCTTCATTCAGCATCAAAGGTCCAGCTGCAATTCTGTCTGCACCGAAAAAAAGGAATAATACGGCTACACATAACTACAAGCAGAGGTAGAATATGTTTCCAGATGTTCCACATCTGAGAGCAACAAAGCTGTAGGAGAGCCTTAAAAGCTGCGAGTAACGGAGACAATGAATGTATTTGCGATATGTGACCTCTGCACACCTCTTTTCTGTGGGTTCTTTAGGTTGTAAATGGACTTAATGTGTTTTAGTAGCAGGCATGATGCCCAACGCACAATAAATATGGGCCCCAGTGGTTAATACAGGCTGCACTCTGAAGCGAGGCGTAAATTCCAGATTACAATTTAAAACAGGCCTTTGCCCCCAAGCTGAAGCATTCCTGAGAGCTTTAGCGGGCTCTTTCTGAGAGGTCATCAGCTGAGAGCTCATCAGCTGAGAGCTTCATCCTAATCCGCCCCACAGACACTCCAGAGGGAGGATCATCTGAGCATCATCAGGAAAATAGTAACGAGAGCTCACAAACTTCAGTATCTTAACAATGTGTCAACAAATGCAAAGCATCTTGAGTTTGTGGAAAATTAAACAAGACGTGCATACAGCAAAAGATAGGCCTTTTGGATTAACTGAGAGTTAACTCTCAATAAAAACTCATATTTAATGATATTCTGGGACATGGACGATCATCATCATCATACTATAAAAAGTTGGGTTACTCTGTTTAGTGTCATCTCTTAATCTCACTAGCATACAAAGTGTTAATGGGAAGAATATACAGGAAAAAAGCACACACCATTCTGACAAACACAAAAACAAATCATAGTTGACATGGAACTAGTTGCATCCTCATCAATAATATCATAACATTATTTGAAGTAAACAAAGCTGGCTTTGCACATTGTACGTTTTTAATGTCAGGATTTCTAAAAACAGAAATAAAGTATTCTGCTGAGACTGTCACTTCGGCTCTGATAACACGCACATGGCCTCATAATCTTGAACACCTTTTCCTTCAATGGCTGGAGTGTAAAATGCATTATTGGTTTTCATTATTATTGTTTGAACAATCTACAGCTTAGTCCAAAGAGTTCAGAGCTCATCATCTGTATGTGCGTCAGAATAAACTTTCCATTCATTCCTCCATCCAGGAAGTAAAACCTTTTCAAACAAGCACGCCAAGTAAATTCAGTCTTAATCTGCAAACACTCAAACGTGGAGGTAATCTCACTACAACCAATGACATGTTCTTCATTTTGCAATCTGACCCCAGCAGAATTAAACAAGCCTGAAAATGTGCAACACAACAGTAACCGACTGCACAGTGTTTGAGGAGCTTGTGGAAAAGAGGGGGGGGGGGAAACGAAGACCCAGTAATCCGATTATGTTTGGAGTAAAACAGATTTGATGACCATCTTTTACATAACTCACTGGGAACATTGTCTTCTTCTTCTTGCCAGTCTGTGCTAGAAACAAGTAAATTACACTGTGGAGAGCTACATCTGGAAACAAGCCACGAGTTGCACACTTAACAAATCCCTTACAAGGTGTCAATCAAAAACGTACACGCCCTCCTGTGATCTGTGCCATCACGCTAAACAATAGCTGGTGGCAGGAGCAGCGAATCAAACGCTTCACTCACCTCTCAGCAGCATCTCTCCTGTCCTCTGGCAGGGAGAAGACACAGCCCATGGCATGCAGCCCTGTAGCTCACCACCGGCAAGGCCACGCCGGGAACCGCCAAGCTCAAAATCAAAAAGCAGGACGTTAACACTCCAAAACCACAGGAGGGGAAAAATAACAAAACAGTCCAGAAAGCACGGCCCGGACAGAGCTGCTTAGCCTTCACCCTCAGAGGCTCCAACACAATCTGAACTCTGCCTCTTCCTGTGCTGCTCTCTGAAACCAGCAGCGTCTGTTCTGTGTGTGCACACGCACACGCACACGCACACACACACACACACCCCGTCAGTGTCTGGCAACCGCTGAGGACACAATGGTGGGAAACTGACTTTCCCATAAAACATAGCCGAGCTGCAGACCTACGCACACTTTTGACTCACACAAAAACACACACACACACACACACACACGCGCACACAATGAAACACTCTCGGGGCTGAAAATGCCTTCCCTCCTCATCCCCGCCCCCTTTCCTCCAGTCTGAAAGGTGTTGGGAACGAAAAAGTCTACAAGATCCATTCCGAGTATTTGGCCGGTTATCAGAGCAACTCTCTCGGTGGACCATTGAAGGAGGGGGGGGGGGGGGGGGGGGGAAATGGGAGATTTTCTGAAGTATCCCCCGCCCTCATCTCACTGGAGGAGAGAGGGGAATGTCATTGCTATGGCAACCTCATTTATCATAAAAGGATTCTATTTGTAACATGGCCTTTCACCAATGGCAGAGCAGATCAGCCCCCCCCCACACACACACACACACACACACACACACACACACACACACACACTCTCTCTAAAAAGAAAAAACAGGAGAGTGGGGAAAGAAGAATGAAAAAAAAAAAAAAGCAACTCAGGGCAAAGAAAGGGTTGCTTGTCTTTTGCCTCAACTTTCCACCTTTGAGGAGGACTCACAAACGCAGCTTGGCTCGCCCTCCTCGTTCGCTCTCCAGGGAACTTTCAAAATGGGTTCGGGGGCCAAAAACAAAAGCACAGGAAAGACTACGCCCCCTTCATAACAGTTAGGTAATCACTGCTCCCTTTAAGGGGAGGGGAGACCAGCTCCGTGTTCTCTTCCTGTATTCCCGCCTTCAACAGATGCACACTCTTCCTACAGGGAAACGTGCTCCACAGGGGTCTCCCCCCCACACACACTCGTTTGAGCAAACCTCCCGTTTTCACACAAATGGTCAGGATCCCCCCCCCCCCCCAGCCTCCACCACTGTCTCCATTCACAGAACCACGCAAGACCTCAGCCACACAGCGAGTGAGGCTGCCGCTGGCCCGAGGCTTTACTCTGGTGACCAAAGGAACTGTGTTGTGTGGTGGGGCGGGACTTAAAAAGTGGCCAGTGGAAGGAGGGTCCGCTGAAATGAAGCCACGCCTCCAATCCCTCCACGGAGTGATGAGTAAGCACGTCGCTATTTTTACATAATCGCCTGGTTATTTGAGTTGCCAGAGATCTTTCTTACATTATCGTTAGATTCAGAGAGTGAAATACCATGTAGGTACGTAGTGCTCCGGTGTTACGCCGCCTTACACAGACTCAATACGCAAGACTTCATGGTTTCAAGGCAAGGCAACTTGGCTGTAGACACTTTGCACACATATCACCGAGGCTAATGTTGTTAATAAGGCCACTCGCAGAACTACACAACAACTATACCCTGCAGCAAAATCCACACAGCACACTCGCCTCTCTCTGGACTCAGCTTTAATCCAGGTTCTCATGAAAGGGGTCCTTTTACGTCCACAAACGTTTATTGGTGAAGCAATGGGACGAAAAAATAAATACATTTAGTGACATAATAATGGAAGACAGACGACAAGACACCGACAATAACTTAAAGCAGTTACGATGACGTAGGTAATGAAGTGATAAGAGTCCGGGGGTATAGATTCAATTAGATTGCGTTACGTAGGATGCGTGTGCGTGTGTGTGTTTGTATGTAAAAGAGGCAACGGTATACATTTGAGTAGTCTATGAGATGTGTGGTAGAAAGACAAAATCTGGCTCTTTGTGCAACCTGTTGCGGGGCTCTGATGGCGTAAAATCATTTTTTGGGAAAATTGAAAAGTGTGAAATAATTTTTCTTAAGATTTTAGAGAACTGAGCTGATATCTCTCAGTGGATGTCTTCACACCACCTGGAGCTAAAACCTTGACAAACATCTGAGCTGCTCTCCCGTCCGTGACCTCTCCATCGCCATAGAAAACTCTGTGCTGTCCCAGATTCGGACTCCGTTCCTGCAGATTAATTCTCCATAACATCAGGAGGACGCGTCCGATCCTCACCCAGTAGGCGGTGCAGGTTCTGGTCCAGGCTCTTGTCATCTTGCTCCTACACTACTGTAACTTACTACTGGATAACGTGTCCGCATGTGCAATCTGACCTCTGCAGCTCATCCAGAATGCAGCAGCCCGGCAGGTCTCCAACCCTCCCAACTTCTCAGACATTACTCCGCTCCTCGGCACGGTCTCCCGGTGGCTGCTTGAAGCTGATTCAAGACGCTGGTCCACTACGCTCTGCTACGGCCACTCGGCTTGCTACTCCCTCACTACGGAGGGGCCCTCGGCTCTACAAAGTCACTACCGTTTGCTGTCCTGGCGCCACAACAGTGGAACAAACTCCCCATTGACATCAGGACAGCAGAAATGCAAGAAATCATCCGTCACAGGCCTCCCAGCCCCAGTCTGTTGATTAAACTTTGAAGATAAAATCAAGTGTCCTTCTACATAACCGAACTGTCCTGAACCCCTTTTTCTCTGGATAAGATCGGCAACACAACAGTTTCAGAACAAGCTATCTAAAATAACAATCAGTGCAGCAGAGCGAGAGGTAAAACATTGTTGCAGTAAACAATTTAAAGTCCTTTGCAAACATTGACTCATTTCGCTGAATAGCCACTGAAACGAAGACAACAGCACTGCTGTGAGACATAAAATGAACAATAAAACACAATTAAAATCGTAATGATTTGTATAATTAATCGTCACACTAATATGTCACTAATGTGTGCCAGCCCTGGTTATGAGTGAAGGGAACAGGCACCCGCATCAGAGAGAGAGGGAGATCAGGTACGTTAAGTAACAGAGATGTTGATAAAGAACAAGGAGAGCGAAACAAAGGTCGCTACTAGTGGAACATTTACAAGCTTTAAGCCGTGCACTCTCACACGCTTGCTTTAGGGTCCATATAGCGTCAACTAGATCCAGACTGACCTAAACTAGACTGCTGCAATGAAATAAGACACAAGCAGGTCACTGACGATACACCTATTTATCATTCTTCTTTAAGCCATGTCCAAAACATGTCGACTAAAAGAAGTCTCTCGCTACACCAACATTGTAAAGCTTTTACATAATCAACAGTATGTGTGAGGTCAAACACAATGTGGCTATAGATTTTATTTTACAGTAAATGATTGTGTGCGCACGCACACACACACACCTACTTTACTTCAGAGTTTGGCCCAACAAAAGTCATTTAGCAACATATTTTGTTATAATAATAATAGTATGTTTTGTTATGATTATATAATAGAAAATATTCCATGAATCAAAACCAGGATTGATCAAACTCCGAACCAACAGTACAGTGATCAGAATCTGTTAAATCTACACAATCCATAAGATAAATACAGCATAATCTAAAAGACACGCTCTTCCTCTTAGCTTAAGGGCTTCAACTTATTCGACTTTTTTTCAATTTATGTATTATGAAACCCATGGTTTACTGTGATGGATACTCACGGCGTGTCGAGCTTCTTGAATTCGGGGATGGGCTCGTGCTTCTTGCGGGACATGTACCAGTAAACAACAAAGGCGACGATCAGGGAGAAGAGGAAGAGGTCCAGGTTGCTGAAAAGAGGCTCCTCTTCATCAGCCATGGGCTCGGTGTGGGCGGCGGTCTCGGCGTCCATGTCTGTCATGTTGACCCTCTACAGAGGGATGGGACAAACAGCGTTAGAACCATTATGTTATAATGACTAAGACAGCTGCAATTAAACAATCTGCATTCTAAAATCAGTGTCACTTCAACAAACTGGGGGCTCTGGCATAAAACGGGTTAAAATGCTGCACAGAACCATATGATTGCTAACATATGCGAGCAGTATTCCACATGCCATACTCTACAATGATGGCTTTTGTGCATGCATTATTGGACAATCGGCTGTATACACACTGCAACATCATCACCCACCGCTTTCGATACAAAATGACTTTCTTGTCATGCATCCACAACAGCAGCTCTTTACACACGGAGCACAAAAAGCACACCGTGTTCAGAGCTCTCAAGTTTCAACTTGGTTCAAGGAGTGCAAACAATGGGATCGGGGTTTCTCCCGATTCCTGTAGGCCAGCGAGTCCGCAACTAGATGACAGTTTGATCGACACAGCCGTGAACTCAGAACACACTCGCTCAATACAGCACTGGCTTGCTAACTGCTTGACTTGTGACTTATTACTGACGCATTAAGCAAACCACTTCATCTATGACGCACTGAGGTGCCAAGTAGGTACAGAAGTTACTGCGATACCAGTTTGTGATACTATTGTCAGATTAGTCAGGTTTGTACTCCCTAGTTTTGTAATAGCCTCTCATTGTGCCCTTTATCATGTCTACAGTATAGCCTGACCAATACTGGATTTTAAAGGCAGATATCAATTTTTTTTTAAAGTCTGATAACAATACATTGGCTGATGTTCATATTTGTTTGCATACGCCCAAATAACTTAAAACATTTGAGTTATGATCACTTCAATTTGGTTATCAAAGACCAAGATATGTACTAAAAGGAACATTTTACAGTTTTAAAATAAACCTGCCAGGGCTCGCAGAGCTAAAACTATCTCCACAAAGAAAGGTCCGGCTACACACTTTATCATTCTGGTATAGGAGGGAATAAAACACTGCGTCTTGTTTGTTTTTCTTTAAACCAATTACAATCTAGATTTGGGAATTCTGCTGTTATTATTGGACAGTATAGAGGCCGTACAGAAGAAGGAGAGAGACATTAGACATACAATAAGAGTCCACAGCTGGAATCTAACAAGGAACAGAACCTTAACCACTTGTGGTGCATTTGAATTGCCTTGTATTCTACTGAAAGGGTGCATTTTGTCCACCACGATTCTATCAACGAGGATAGAATACATATTGTTGTAATAAAAATAAGTCTGCTCATCCGGGAGTTACGGTAATGGCCACAAACACACAAAAGAATATGCATGAATCATTTAAATAGTATCAGTCTGTTGTGGTAGAGTATGTTGACTACTTTACACAGTGATCTCCCCACAGAGTCAATTAGCATCTCCCGTCTCAAGTTAAACGTGTCATACATGTATAAAAATAGCAGCAACAACACAAGCAAAATAACTAATTATTTAAACTATTAAGAATTTAATTACCGATTATAATTTGGTCTTGTTGATTTCACACACAGTGGTGAAGGATAACAAGCAGTGTCCCGGTTAAAGACACACAAACCCTGAAACACAGTGTGAATACTGTATATTTCAGTAGCTGTTACTATTGGGAGGTTTGAATGACCAATGAAATCAGACATGGACGAGGTTCACAAGAGTTCATCCTAACAATTCCCCCTTTGCTCTTCTTCTGCTTTAAGCAAATTATTATGCAACACTCAAAAATCACGTAAGAGGCACCGGTTTCCCAAAGCGTGAAGGAAAGTTGCACGTGCAATGTAGACACCTGCTTTAATTCATTTAAATTGAGGAAAATCCGATTTTGCTAGTTTAGAAAAATAACGACGGCGGTGAAGTAAAACGAGGTAGTTTAACAAGATAGAGAGCGGTAGAGGGACATAGGGCACTGACTACTGCCTGGACTGAAAACATACACTCTGAACAACATGACAGCTCGATGAGGAGACTAACAAGTGTTGTGTAAAACAGGATATGTGCAAAGATTGGGAAACGACTTGCTCCAAGGAGAGTTTTCGTAACAAGGAGTCAGCGCTTCTCTTTAGATACTGTTCCACTGACAAACATGAAGTGCAGATTACGTTTCTAGTTGAGGTGTAAATCTATTCACGCTGCCGTGTAGTCCCCACAGACTGACACAGGCTAAAAGTCGCTGCAGAACCACTAAGATTGGTGAGTTTGGTGCAGTGCTTACCTTCGCCTCCCCTCTTTGTGTCAGGCTCGCACTGTGTTCAACACGGAAGGAAACTTTCCGCCATATAGGATCAAACCAACTCAACCCGAGCGGCGGGGGTGGACTGCTGCACTTTTAACGCCAAATAATTTAAATCTAGAGATGGTAAATTGTATTGCTACACAGCAGATGTTTGTCTTCAAAAAATACGGTTATGTCTAGATTGTCTGCTTAAGTAAAATGTGCTTATTTACCAATTTCACTGAACACGTGATTAAAACGTGGACCGGTCTGTACAGGCATTACCTAACATCGTTACGTGGTGCATCGAGACTAATGTTAATACGGAAGTTATACATTCACGGGCGCAGCAGGCCATGGGTCATGGTTGTGTAATTCAATCAGCAGACGTGTGTATCCTCGACAGACTGAAGGGCAGATCCCTCAAAGGTGTCCTGCGCTACTTAGAGGGTGTTTTGTGTACAGGTCATAGCCCAACATCCTGTGAGGGGTTTCTACATGGATATTAAGTAAAAGTAGCAATGCCTAAAATTACAACAACTACTGTTTTAAGCAAAACTTCAGAACTATTAACCCCCAAAAAGTACTTAAAGTATTAGAGGTATTTATTAGGGAGCATAATGACCCCTCTCAGCAGCAGAGTACTGTACTAAAGTACAATTTTAAAGCATTTTAACTTTACTTCAGTCTTTTCTTCTTAACTGTGTGTGCATAGAGATTAATTGTATTTTAAATACTAAACCAGTTCATAAAATATGAAGCAATATCAATTACATGAGTGACCCTATAAAGATATTAAATTAGTGCCACCTTGAAATTACAACATTAAAGTACTGCTTACATATAATAATACATCAGTAATAATGATGCAATAGTATACAGTAATACAACACTGACAGGGGCCATGATGCAAAATGAGTACTTTTACTTTTGATAGTTGAAGTACAGTTTGTTGCTAAGACCCCTGTACTAGGTCTATATAATGGGGTACATTTATAGCCATGGTATAGCTAATTTTACTTAAGTATATATATATATATACTTAAGTATACGCTTCTAAATACTTCTTCAACCACTGCCTATTAGCATTATAATATGTTTTATTGTCATTAATTTAGACTGCCTGACAAAAGTAAAAAAGTGTAAAGTAACACTAAATGGAAATACTCAAGTAATGTACAAGTACAACACAGGGAGGAAAGAAATGTCCAATGTTACATAATGAGATAGAATGAGATGTACTTTTCAATCCCTGCAGGGAAACTCAGAATTGACACGCCCAACCCAACCACATAAAAGGCTTGAGAAAAAAAGGATGAAGGGGCATCAATCAAACATATTCAAACAAATGCACAAGCACAGACTTTGTAGTACTTAAAAAAAAAAAAACAGATTCACAGAGGCTATAAGAAATACTTTATTGGAGGGTTATTTTATTCCTTTCATTTGACTAATTATACAAAGATAAGAACATGGAGGTTTTGTGGAGCATAATTCAACCTTTAATGGTGATTGATTAGACATAAAATATAGTTTTTACATGTTTTGTAATATTTAAGACTTATAATGAGTTGGTTATATAATAGCACAGCAAATAATGTTTATACCAGCAGTAATGATAATGCTCTTAATTTGGAGAGTAGCATTTGAGACAATATGTTGTAGACATGTTGATGTTTGTTGTTGATGTTTGTTATCATAGTAGACTGGGCTGTCACAGACTCTTTGGTTTCTGATTCCTGCTCTTGACCTTGTGACGGACCACAGCAACTGTCGTGAAGAAGTTTCCCATGAACAGAATAAGGAAGCAGAGACCACACATCAAGACCTGGCATCACAAGGAACACAGAGAACAATGAGTAAGCATAACAGCTTTCATTAATCATCATTTCCTTAATATAAGCTGGGGATCAGATGGGCATGCAATTTCATTCAAATCCATCGTAATGTAACCCTAGGCTGTGAAAAGTGAACACACGGATCTAGCCATGCAGGTAATACGATAATAAGTAAGCAGGGTAGATTATAGATGATTAGATAGCAAATCTTGAATAATATACAAGCAGGTAAAAGGTGAAATTACAAAAACTTGTGAGAACACTGACCTGCCATTCTTTACAGTCTGGGAGCTGAGACATTCTGAAGAGAGAGATGCTATTGAAGAGCTGCCAGAACTGCAAGACAAAACAGGAGGACTTCAGATTTAAGTGTTTGTAAAAACTGAATGCATATACTTTGGTGTGCAAGCACAGACAAGCTAAAGCTTAAGGTGTTGTTCAGATCACCAAAAACCTTAACATTGTCTCAAATCATGCCCAAAAGTGCTGAATAATATCAAGTCTACAATGATATCAGCATTTCTTTTAAACAGTTCTGTCATCCAGTCTAAACCATGACAAACCATGATTTTTAAGCAGTACTTAGAGGAAATGTCCCAAGTTCAATTGTGAATCAGAATGTACTCACATGACCAAAAAACAGGAAGGGCAACAGGAAAGTCAGCCCTTTCCACATCCACGACTGAAATCCCTCTAAAAACAGAACACAATAGCGTTCAAATTATTATGTTTTGTTTTTTTAACACATCTGTTTATTACAACAGTGACAATGAGAAGCTCCAGACATGCCTGATGGAGCATCACTGTCTCTCAAAAGTCAGATATCTTCACTAAAATCTTTATTTATGATGTGCAGGCCTGTATTCTGTGTCCTTGGTGCGTCGGTGTATCTCACCCACGGTCAGATCCATGTTGTGTCTTTCTCCCAGGGCTCGTAGCCTGTACAGACATCCGCTCTGATAATAGCACTGCAGACACTGAACAAAACCTGTGAGTTACAGATGAAAGAAACACGCATCAGGCTTTGATTTGATTCTGAAGGGTTTGAACCACGAATGCTTTTGAAGTATTTTGACCTTACTTTGATACAAGGAGTAGGCAAGGAACTGGTTCCTGAATATCTTGTACAGGTTCCCCTCTGGCCTTATAGGTGTGAAAGGGAGGACATATGTGTTATTATATAGGATGTGTTTTCTAACGGCAACAACAGTATGTGTGGTAAGGATCACAGCAAGCATTGTATGAATTACGTTTTCTGAATGGGTTAATATAGAGTTTCATTGATTCTTAATCTGTTTTTATCTTCCTGTACTCACCATGTCAACATTACACCGGACAAAAAAGCTGAGATGTAGTGATGGAAAACCCACCAGCCCTTGATTCTGTAATACAAGATACATTTTAAGTAGATATTAGGTTTTATGTTTTACACTTTGTTAAACTTAGTTGCTTAAATCCCATTTGATTGTGCAATAAAGAAATAATTGCCTTTAATAATATGTAAAAAAAAATGAAAGTTCAGAGAGCTACCAATATGTTTATTTATAGGAAATTTGTCATTATTTTGGTAGGATGGTTGAAAGAGCTGACCTGGAGCCGTTGGCGGTGAGAATACTTTCCCTGATTGTTAGTGTACAATAGTACCACACCAGCAGGAAATTGAGGATTGCATCAAGAAATCTAAAATCAGGCATAGAGGACAAGGGCCGGATTAAGACGCAGTAAACGCAGCGTCCTTTTGATAAACTCATTGTAGCTGACGAGGCTGGAGCAGCTGTGATGTGATGATTCTTACCTGTAGCTCACAAAGAAATAGCATATGAAGGAGAACAGCAGCAGGATGACTGTGAGGTACAGCTTGAACTTCTCGTATTCATCTTTGTAGGCAAATCTGACAAGGACGTGATGAATGCGGTTCTCAATAAACAGTACACGGCTTTAATGAATCAGCCATGGAAATGTTTGATTTTGGGAAGTAAAGCGTTGACGTTAGCGTTGATAGTCACTTCTTACTTTGACTGCTTACTGAGAAGAGTGACATTCACATTTCCAAGAACCAGACTGAGGTACAAACTGAAATATGAAGAAACCATATTATTTTTCTTATGTACTTCAGATAATGTATTTAATGTTCGATCTGTTTTTATGGTATCAACTTGTATTTCAAAAAAATAAATCTTCACCCATTTTTATTGGGAAGGAAAGCTTCCATGTCAAAGAAAGCATTTGGTCGCGTCTTTATCTTCTCATTTATTTCATCCAAGGTCTTGGCATCTTCCTCTGGTCCTTTGCTGCATCTGATGGATGTTGGAAGTGCACAACATGACATGTTTGTTTGTGTGTGGTTGTTGAACTGAGAGGGGTCCACTTTGTACATATCAGCAAGCCTTTCTTTCATGAATCTGTATGAATTCGTGCGAGTGTAAACTTACTTTTTCACGAGGTGGGACACATCCTTCAGTCTGCTGCGCTGACTGGAAATGGAGGAAGAGCAGTTTTTTTGTAGTTTGGAAATTTCCTCCAATTTCTGTAAGTACAGTCTGTGTGTCTCCTGGATGAGAAGAACTTACATCAGGAACCAAAGAAAATGTAGACCACAAGGAGCATTTAAACATTTAAAAACATTTGGAGAATATGGTAGAGTACAATCTGGAGCACACGGTATTGTACATGAATTTACTGACATATGGCAGTTTCACAAGAGCGGTTTAAACAACATTTTATCATGTGAAATGATTTAGTGAAACAACACCAAGCAAACATTACGTTGAGCATGATTTTTTACAACTGCTCTATGAGCATAATCTGACAGTCAGCTGCTTTTTGTCCGATCCTCACCAGAAGTTGTTGATACTCTTCTTCCAGACATTTCCACTCCTCCAGAACGACTCTTAAATCTTGAGGCATTTTGTGAACACTTTATCTTTCATACTACTCTGACAGCAGACCCAGACCCACTGAAAATAATACCCAGTTAAGCTTTAAAATTGTTCAGCGACCAAAAAATGGCTTGCACATAATTCCATGTTCAAGTGTGTCTCTTCGCGGTGTGTGTCACATCCCAATGGACGGTTTATTGCATGAAGTGAACTTTGACTTGTAGAAATGTGCAAGATTTTGACTTGGACATTGTTCTGTGGAACTTCTCCAGTTATTACATTGTTCAGTTAACACTCACAGAGCCAGAGGCGATATGTTATTGTTAACTATATATTACAACTATGTACACAATTCAAGTACTAAAGGTCTGTATTGTTGCCATTGCAATGGTTCACCCAGCTTCCTGTTAATTAGACTGAGCTTTTGTGCATGTTTAATCTTTCAGCATTTTTTGTTTTTTCGTTTACACAGCTGCACACGAGCAGCATCTGGTGGATGAAAGGAATAAATCAGTTATAAACTCACTTTACCAACAAGACTGGTGTGAAGGAGAAATGTTTTAGCAGTTGTAATTTGATGGCACAAATGATAAATTGGTGGAAAGAGTAATTTTTTTTTTTTAAATAAATACATTTGAATAGTTTATGATGAAAATGGTATGTGTTTATTTGTATTGTATTTATTGTATTACTCTCTTGACATTGTACATGTCCCCTTTCATAATTAAATTAAATTAAATTTAAAAGAATTGCTGGCTTGCACTCTGTCCTCAAATTAAAATGGTTTAACATAACTAACACTATGTTGTAACATTTAATAATGATGATTAATAATATATTAATGTTTAGTGTGATGTTTTGTGAGATGGATAGGTGGATAGAGACATATAAATCACAAATGACATGTCACTCAAAGAGGTAAGAAATTACATTTTAAAAACATGAATATCTAAACTCTTAGCTAGAAACTAAAATAAACCAAAAAAAATATTATACAGTTTACATAATGATAGTGCCCTGCTGTGCATGGTGAGTGCAAGTCTGGTACTTTACACCAAGTACAATGAATCCATAAATCTACACAGGTCTGCACAGTAGGTACAGTAGACTTAACTATATGCAGAAAGTATAGGTGTGTATTATAAAAGTACGTACGTAGCATATGAGCCATTTTTATTACTGCTCCGATATGCTTTTGCTGACATGTGATGTATCATCAGACACACTAGTGTAAGAAAAACAAACGGTAGTATTTTATTCGGTAGAAAAGATTTGTCGAAATGCCGCCTTTCTTCTGAAATATTCGGGCGGAAGTGACATCGTGTTTGCCCCGTTTGAGGGAGCACAGTCTTGCGCATGCGCGACAGCGGCCGGTGAATGTTTTGACAGACAGCTGTGGCGTAGGAGAGAGAGGTGAGAGATCCGTTTACCCTCTTACACAACAGCTCGCTGTACAGATTGCTGGACACCAGCTTACTCACACTGGTTTTTACTCAGGTGAGTCAACACAAAGAAAGAAAAGGAAACCAATATAACTTGATGAAAAAGGTAAGATTAATCTTGTGAGCTCGAGCCCAGCTCACGTTAGCTAGAACGCTATCGTCAGTAAAACTGGTTATTGAAAGTTAACCTGTTGTTGCGACTGTGTATTGAGAAATAATGTCCTTAATGTTGTGTAGTCAATATATTATTTTAACTTAAATCATTTCTCCAAAAAAGGATGCTCAAAGTGTCACAATAACAAAGAGACACAGTGACAAGAAAAGCTGAAATGTAAAATATGAAATATGTTATCTAATACTTGAGGTGCAAACTAGTCCTGCATCTCAAAGAGCATATCTGCTTAGACACAAATCATTTATTGTAATTTTGATAATTGGTGAATAATGTTCCATAATTTGTAATGTATGAATTATTATAGGTACAGTTCTCTGATATAAATCTATTTCAATCAATATAAATGTAATACCTTTGGCTGTTGGTCAGGTTAACAGCCTTAACTCTTAACTTTGATAAGTTCTCATGTTTGGTATGTTATTTAATTGGGGGAAAAGTGAGTGTATTAAAACTTAAGACATTGACTTTGAGTGTGTTGTGTTTGCAGACGACCGATAGGAGATGTGTGCTGCTGTGTATGTCCTGTCGACGGTAACGGGCTACGTGCTCACCTCTGCCCTGCTGCTCAAATGCCCAAATCTATTGCACCGGAAGAAGCAAGAGACTTTTTGCAGCAGGCACATTTCCCATCGCGGAGGTGAGTCTGTGTGACACTCACTCCGATTTCAGCATTGATCATGTTCTCAAAATGCCCTTAAAATAAAATTGGTGCATGGCAAATATATCGCCAATTCCTCACAAAACTTATTTTTCAGGAAGTGATTTTGTATATGAAGATGTTTAATTTCCATCTTGAGCCTCATGCTCATGTCTGTGCCCATTCAACTGTCAGCGGCTACACTTTGGTTATAATGCAATGTATTTATTACTGTGCTTCAATGAGACAGGTTTTATTGTGGAATGCTAACACACAGAAAACACTGTACCACGCTGAGTGTTTTTACTTCTTTCATTGCAGGAGCCGGTGAAAACCTGGAAAACACCATGGCAGCTTTCAAGCAGTGAGAATAAACCTTATTCACAATGACAAAGTTCTTTCTTTGCATAACTAGTGCTTGTGCATGTGATTGTGGTTAGTTTGTGTCATCTGAGCTTTGTTTGTGACCACGGTCTGTTTTGTCTCGAGATAATGGTTCACGTCAAAGCCTCAGATGATAAGCTGCTGCGGCTGTTTCCGATCGATTCATTAATGGATTGGGAGGTTGAACTGCTCTTTGGTTTTATTGAACGTGTACGTGATAATATGGAGTGATAACTACATTATGTTTACTGTGTGTTGGTCCATGCAGCGCCGTGGATGTTGGCACAGACATGCTGGAGTTGGACTGCCACCTGACGAAAGATGAAGAGGTAGTGGTGTCACATGATGCCAGCTTGCAGAGGGCCTCTGGCATCAACGCCCACATCTCCAACATGTGCTACACTGTGAGTTACTTCTCCGCAATATCCCCTAAGTTCTATATCCGACAGAGAAATAACTACACTTCACTAATTTATAACATCTCTGTTCCTTTTGATTTAGTAGGCAACCTACAAAAATGAAAATGTTAATAATTGTGATTCTGACATTATTAAAACATGGAAAAAGCTGTTTTTCTACGAGCTTGGCATGTAATAGACAACAGAGGCCAAGAGTTCCACAAATATTTGAATCTTCTGTGAATGACTTAACAGCATCGATGGATCATGTGCAAGGTCCACACCAAGTCACCTGATATGTCACGTGACGAACTTTTACCTGATTAAAATAATCCGATCGAGCAGAAATGCTTGGTGAGTCAGCGGATTATTGCTGATCACCCAGCTATGTTCGGTGTTACACATCTTTGACGGCCCACACGTCTAATGGATTTTGAAACAGAGATCTCGGTTTTCTTGGAGAGGCCTTACGTAATTTGACGCCATAATTATACTTGTGTAACTGAAGATTGGGTTCACAGCTTCATTGCTCTTTGGCCTTGTAGAACAAAGGAAGCACAGATAACTTTACGTGACTCACGCTTTGACGTGTCCTTGCCTTCCTCTTTCTTTTCATATTGACCAAGATAAATGTGTCATGACCCCACCTCTAGATAGGACCTGACCATACAGACTGCCTATACACTGCATTTCTTGTATGTTAACCACTGTGTGCTCTTTGCAGGAGCTCCCTCCATACCTCCGCAAGCTGGGTGTATCCTTTCGGAGAGGTGAGCATCACATATCAATGACTGGTGTAATTACAAGGCTAGCACACAACCCACATACAGATGCATATCCGCAACTTCAGTCATCAATAAATAGGTTTATTTGAGGTTTGCCAATTCACCAGTAAAAATGGATTAATTAACTTATTTTAGTTTACTTATGATGGATAACTGTTGAAGTGATGAAAACATTTGTCCTCGTCTGTGCAGAGTGTTTCTGTGAGGGGGGAGAGGACAAACGCATCCCTCTTCTCAGGGACGTTTTTGATGCATTTCCCAATACCCCCGTCAACATTGACATCAAGGTCAACAACGACATGCTCATCAAGAAGGTGTGTGTGTCCTATTTTTTTCTTTTGGTACTTATCCCTCGTATAAAACAGCTGTCCTGTTTTTAATCCATCTTTCTTTGAGTTTGCCATTTTTCCATGCCTTGTTTATTAAACAGCTATTGCTATTCACAGAATCTTTGCTGTATTTTTTCGTCCTGAAAGAAGAATCAATAACGATTACGTCATCGTATATCTAAAGTTGCTGACGCTGAAACTTACTTTGCAGGTCTCTGAACTGGTGGTTAAGTACGACAGAGAGCATCTGACGGTCTGGGGCAACGCCAGCAACAAGATTGTAAAGAAGTGTTACAAAGAGGTACATTTACATTAAATGCAAAGTTCACTTTACCTTCAGTACAGTCATTTCAGGGAGACAATCTTCCTTCAAAAACACTTCTACCAGTAATAATATTATTTCGGTGCTCTTTACAATACAACTACTGAGTCGGTTGTAGACTGTAGGTGTTTCACTGTATATTTTAAACGTCACTTATTATCACCAGTAGTGACTGAATTTTAGGGAATTGACCATAACTCATAGTTGCTGTTTTTTTGCAGAACCCGCGTATTCCAGTGATGTTCAGCCTTCCCAGAGTCTTGCAGCTGTTAGGCCTCTTCTACACCGGCCTTCTGCCTTTCGTTCCCCTCAAGGAGCAGTTTCTGGAGATCCCCATGCCCTCTATTATCACCAAGTAGGTACACACACACACACACACACACACACACACACACACACACACACACACACGCCGGAATGAAATTAAAAAAGACATGCACTTATATATAAAAAAAATAATAATTCTGGGAGAGGTCCACAGCATGCACCAACCTTCAGTAACACTGTACGGTCAGCGTGCTGGTTATTGTGCAACACAACATAGATACAGTTCCTCTACAGTCCTAGTTTGTGAGTAGGATACAACAGTAACACTACACTCTACCAGAGGGGATCAGTATATAAGTACACAGCATTTGATAGCAGGAGGTCGGTAGGTTAAGTTCACAGGGGTAGCCAATTCCAAAATGGTCTCTATACGACAGAGTTTAAGAAGATCAAACTATAATTCTGCCCCAAACTCTAAAACATTAACAGGAACAAAATTACTTCTTAACCGACAGCACTGGCCAAAGTACTTTGAGCAGCTATAGTTGGATATAAAATAAACTTGTACACACATACTAGCACAACTCACCAGTTTAAAATCTTACTTAAAAAGGTTAACTTGACATTGGAAACATTTTTCCAGCTCATAGTTCTCAATTTGTAGCGTTGAGGTAAGGATCCATTATGGATGCCAGAAACAGCTGTTTGACACAAATAAAATGAGCTCAAGGTCTATTCACTTGGACATTTTGTGACCTTTCAGCCACATTGTGTCCTTCATCCGCAAATAGACATCCTCACACCAGACACCATGGACAAACCCTGAACTGAGATGGGGGGGGGGGGGGGGGGTACCACATGACCTTAAAGTTTCATATATGCGCCAACTCGATCTGCTGAGGAAGGCTGAGAGCTCTGAGGTCTCATTTATAACTGTTGCGTACGCACAAAACAGGTCTGAAAGAGGAGAACGTGCTCACCTGTACGGAGACTCTGACCCGTGCGTACGAACATTTTGGAGACACGGGGAAATTAGCGACGCAGATGGTGAATAGAAGCTGGATTGTAGAAATTAAAATGCAAGAGGCATCATTCCAGGTATGATGACGGTGAAACCAGCAGTGTTATTTGTGCTTGTACTAGTGAGCCATAAACTATAAGCACATTTCAATTATAAAAGATACAAACCAACTAAAACCTCAAATCTAATTTCGCTTAATCTTTCATTCTGTCAGGTCCCTGGGTCTTGCACTTAGAATATTTTGTAAGGAATAGTTTGTTCTTCATGTGTTCTTCTGTAAAGGCCACTACAGTATTTATGTAGCAATAAATACTAGCTTTATACAACACAATGTAACTCCGACACTTTCTTCTGTGTGATCTTGCAGAGTAAAGGATCCCAACAGATTAACAAGGAGTCAGCGGATCATCACCTGGCTGGCAGACACGTAAGTCACCAATTTGTCTGAGTATTTGAAACCCCTCTGTCCTCTTTTATTATAATGTCAGAGCTGCTGAATCTATGGGTGTTTGTATTTCACACTTTAAATCTGCATACTTTATATCTGCTTTTTCATCCACTCTCATTGCATGTCTGTGTTCGTGACTGTCTCTCTCTTGAACACTATATTTGTGACATTGGGAGGAATTCTGATAACTCATGACAAAATAATACACACATACATGACTGCGTGACAAGGATCAATGCAAAACCTTTACAATTGTGCAACTAAACCTCTCTAGCTTTGATATACTTACAGTTTTCCCGAAAGAAGAGTATTTTTTTTTCCTCTCTTGCAGTTTGCTGATGAGGAAAGCTCTGTTTGATCATTTAACTGCCAGGGGAATACAGGTATGTATTCCTCATAAAAGAGAAAAAAAAAATTTATTATTATCGGGAAAACTGG